AAGCCAACTAGAGCTAAGCTCCTGGAGTTGAAATGCCTGAGGAAAAAAACAGGCCATAGATTGACCAGCTCCCATGGTTATCAGAGCCGACTGTGCCCCTAGCACATAGCACCCCCAATGAGAGTCCACAACACCCTCCAGTTTCCTTTGTTCTGCCTTCTGCTCCCTGGCTCCTAAAAACCCCTGTCTGCACTGAGATGTTAAGATTGTCTTTGAGACAACATTCCCCTATCTTATGAAGCTGCTGGTTCTTGAATAAACCTGCTTTCCTTCCATCAGACCCTGCCTCTTGATTATTGGCTTTTGAGCAGCAGGTTTGGTGTCATTATCATCCCCCAATATTATAGAATAAATGAAGTACAGCTCTTTGGGCCTATGTTATTACAGGACAGATTGCATGATGGCATAGAAAACACACACTGAGGGATGCTGGGATGGTACCATATGCAGATGGTGTTCCCATCGTCTCCCTGATGAAATTGTAGAAGCTAATGTCTATAACAATGCTTGGTGTAGTTCATGGCATAGTTTAAGCACTCACTAAATATCCTATATAATAAAAGGCTAATATGCAAATAGACCAAACAGCGGAACAACTGGAACTACCGAACAACTGAACAACAGGTCGCTATGACATGCGCTGACCACCAGGGGGCGTGCACAAAACATGGCGGGCATCGGCCACAGCAGGATGGTGGAGCAGGTGAGCGGGGGCGCCAGAGCAAGGCAGGGCACCAGTCGCTGTCACTGGGGTGAGCCTCTGGTGGTTACTGACAATTCTTTGCTCTCGCGCACCGGGGTCCTGCCTGGTGCTCGCACCCGCAGCCAGTGCCAGAGCCACCGTTCACACTCACTGCCGGCGCCCAGCGCTGGTCCTGATCACTGGGCGCTGTCAGCGGGTGTGTGTGGGGCCTGTGCTGTCAGCCTGTGGGAGGTGGCAGTGGGAGCAGGGCTGCCAGCAGAGAGGGGTCCTGGGCCTCAGGAGGAAGGGCCAGGCGGGGGCGCGGAGAATGGGCCAAGACCCACGCCTGTGCCCACTGCAGCCTCATGGCCCACAGTTCCTTTCAAGGTGCATGAATTTGTGCACTGGGCACCTAGTTGTTAAATAAATGGATGACTTGCAAAGATGCTGAATGGGCCAAAATCTCCTCCATCCACGTAGTTAATCTGTAGAAAGGAAGAGGGATCAATAGCAGTGCTAAATAACACAGAGGATGCTAAAGATAACTTCCATTAGAATTTATTTCCTGTTGCAAAAAGTAAATCCAAGAATTTCTCTGGAACATATCATGGTAAGTATATCATGCTTATGAAGTCAGTGACTTTGCCCTGTATTTACTCAGAATCATATACAAATCATCTAACCCACTTTATAGTTACTTCTCGGTAAAATAGGGGAACAGTACCTAATCCACTAATTTGTTGAGGTAATTAAATAAAATAATATACCTGAAATTGACCAATGTGTTATCAGGAACATGATGGTGGGTTGAGCTCTCTGTGCTTCCTCACCCTCCTCACTCAATATGGGAGTGACAGGTATGTAGTGCTCAGACCTTGGAATGGAGAGCCAAAAAAAAACTGTGTGAGAAATGTCTGATTATTATTTATGTTGTCTTCAATCAAAATGTTTAATTTAAAAAAACAAAACTCTTAGCCCCATGAACTCTGTGAATTACAAAACTGCACTGGGCCCTGAGAGAGTTCCAGTCTTTCTCCCCCATCCCTGCAAAGAAACTTCCTTGACATCTCAGCATTGCAAGGCTAACATCACATTCTCAGAGAAGTCTCCTCGCACCTCACCTTCCTCCCCAACACTAGTTAAATCAACTCACTCAAAAATCTATCCCTCATTTTGTTCTTCTTTCACAGTGTTTTCAAGAGTTTCTATCATAATATGAGTATCCCCCACTTTTCAAAAGTTCAAGTTGCACCAATTCACATTTACTTAAGACCTGCATTAGTACCCATATTCACTAACCAAAAGAAATCCAAAGAGGAATTTTGCTTTTAAGGAAAAAGAGAACATAGCATTCCTTGTTTGTTTTGCAGAGAGCTATTATAGAGGCAGCCACACCTGGAACAAGGAGAACGCACACCTCCCTACCCCCTTCCCTGGGAACTATACTCAGCATCTCAGCATCAAGCCACCATCATTTTGAACTGCGTCTATACGAATCTGTACTTTATCTTGATTTATTTTGTGCATCCGTTAGCAAGATGTGTTCTAAGGTATCAGAAAAGCCTTTTGCTTTTGACCTTTCCCTTTTGTAGATGATTGAAGTTGCATTTTTTTAATGGAACCACCCAGGCCCTGTGAGTTCCTGCTCCAGGATCACTAGTAGACATTCTCAAGTATATCGTTTTCCACATTGTCACTTGACAAATGGCCAAGAGTCTTGGCTTATGAGATAGGATTTTTCAAGTTTCTTCACTGTTATCTGTTCTACCATGTTAATAGATTCTAAATGACCTGGAGTTATTAGAAAACTCCTAGAGGCAATTTTTAAATTGGAGCAACAATTTTATGAGATCATTTCAATTTCACAATATCACATTTATTATTTTTCTTGATGAAAGCTCAATAATAGATGGCAGCTTTTTAAAGCTAAGAGTGCAATTTTTATTACCAGCTAAAGAGGATTAATTGGGTGACAGAAATTGACAAAAACAAACCTGTTTATCACTTCATGAGTCCTGGGTCACTTAAAGGAATGGACCATTATAAAAAAATTCTTAACCATTATTAAAATCTGTTAGTTGAATAATTAAACATAAAATTGAAACAAGATTGCATAAGAAAACAAAATCAAAATGGCAACTCCAAAGGTGAATTAAATATGGAACCAAATAGTCAATGAAGTAGCCTGCCACACAAAAGAAATATCCATGTATAAAAGGTTGTTTTTTTTGTTTGTTTTTTTCTAAAGACAGGCAGTGGTCTGTGCTATGGATTCTAAAAGTGTTGTGTTGTATAAGTATATGCTATGTTTATGAGTTGTGAAAGATCACCTGGGAAAGGAAATATCATGCTTTTCCTTTCATAATAAAGTGCCTAAAGCTTTCATTTCCCCTATGGGCATGGCCTTGCTAAGAGTATTCTGATATTCAGATCTACTAACCAACGTTTTCCTGACCCATGGTTGGTCCAGAAAATGCACTGCCAGTTTTGATTTCTGTGACTTTAGTTTTTCTCCATAATTATCTTTTAAAAGTTAATATAAGTTTATGCTGGATTCTATGAATAAGTATCTTAGAACTAAGTACTGACATTTCATTTTTATGCTTTTATCTGTGTTGTGTTTGAGACATGACTGTTGGTGTCAATTACTATTACTTTAACTGTTATGAGCTAACGAAAAAGGACAGAGATAGACTTAGGACAAAAAATGTTTTGGGGGCCAAGTAAAGGCCAAATGCCATTATAGTACTTACACATGAAGATTTCATAGTAATTTGAATAGAAAATGAGGCAAGAAAATTGAACTGCCATGTGGTATGTAGTAGAATAGACCTGCAGCATTTCAAAGAGCTGGTATTGTAAGAGTAGTCAATATCATATTCATGTTGTACACAGTAGTTTTAACAAAAAAATAGTGTTACTTTAAGGTTGTTAATTTCAAGTTTTTATATTTAATTTTTAAATTTGGTTTTAAAATAATTCATAAGAAATATATGTGTATGCTTGTCTATGAAGTTTCATTTAGGTTTAGACATTAAATAACACTATAATAAAAGTAATTTGTCAGTATTGGGATCAGAGAATTGAGTTCTTTACAAATTGTCAATGTTTTATTCACGTTTGAGAAACTTGACATCAAACCTCACACCCACTGCTGGAATTATCCATAGACAGGGCACTTGTAACTATTTGTTTTACTGTTGGACAGCTCTGATGATTCAAAAGTTCAATTTTTATCGATTGCTGCAAGTACATTTTTTTGTAAGTTCCAACCATTGGTGGTAGTTATACTTAAGAACAAATTAAGTCTGCTCTCTTTCTGTTGCAGCTTTTAGTTATAGGAGAATAGTTATTATGTTTTTCCTTAATCTTGCTTCCACAGATATTTTTGAGAACTTACTTTGGACAAAAAATTGTACATTAGCCTTTTTTTTTTTTTGCTCTGAAAGGCACTACAAATAAACACACAGAAAATTGAGACTTTTATTCATATCACCAATAATAATAACAAGGAATTATTAAACTCATTCATGTGTTAGGCACTAAAGGGGGCAGGTATAGAAGTATATTGACACACTATTCTTGCCTTCCAAGAGTTTGAATTTAGTTGGAAATGAAGATTAAAATTTTAGATAATATTAAATATTATAAAGACAAGCATTGTAGTTCAGAGGGTTTAGTAACCTGAGTTCTGGAGTCATTACTGGACGTTTATGGATTTCAACTAGAGTTCAGTCTTCAAAGCTACAGTGGGTCTGAATATACCCCGTGCAAATAAGCACCCAACTGCTTTGTCCAAAGTAGCATAAATGCCAAAAGTGGAAATAAGTTTTTTTGCTCTTTGTCTAGTCCTTTCTTCACTCTTTATAGCAGAAAGAGAAAATCGTTACTTGAGAAAGCAAATTTTTTATTAAATCTACAAATTTTGGGAAGATCACTGAAATTTAAATGGCAAAATTCTAAGTCTTGTGACTGTTCCTGGTTTAGCCTGTAGCCAGTGAAAGTTGCTACAATTATTTTTGAAACGCATTTTCTTTCGGATTGATTTTAGGAACAGCTCAAGCTCAAATGACAAATTTTTTTATTTAGAAACAAACAAACAACAACAAAAAAGTTCTGTCCAAACAGGAAGAATACTGAAAGTCTGGGAAGCCACCAGATCGGCTGTGTTGCCGGAATTCTATTTACCTCTAAGCCAGACGGAAGACTGCTTTGCACATGCGCAGAAGGGAAGCTTGGGCGGGGAGTTCCGGCGCGTTGGGTCGCGCTCCAGGCAGCGATTGGCTCCGCCCTGGCCGAGAGGCGGGACCGGAAGCGCCCGTGTTGTGGGACTCTGCTGGTTCAAACCCAGCGTCTTTCCAGCGCCTCGCTTCCTGCGGTCGGTGCTGCTCCGGCGGAGGCGCGATGGGGGAGGCGGAGAAGTTCCACTACATCTACAGCTGTGACCTGGACATCAACGTGCGGCTCAAGATGTAAGAGGGCCTGGGGGCCGGGGCGGGCATTGCTGGAGTTTGAGGAGAGGAGGCGGGGCCTGTGGGCTGAGGGTAGAAGATGGTTATTAGCCTGGAGGCCGGCCGGGGGCGGCGGGGAGAGCGGTGGCCGGGGCAGACGGGGGACGCGGCGTGGAGAGGGCGCTGCGGGAGGAGGAGAGCGGCGAATAAGCCCCGAAGTCCAAGGCGGTTTTACTTTCTTCGAAGCCTGTTGCTGTGCACAGCAACCTTTTGAGGGGTCACTCGTCCCATTTTGCAGATGCAGAAATCTAGTCTCTTTTAAATTTTTAACGGCCGGCGGTAATTGGAAGGTCTTCCCTTGAACCCGGGGCTGGGAGGTGGAGCAGAGACTGCAGAGTTCTGTAGACACGGGCAGATGTGGTAGCTGAGGATGAGATGAGCACATGGATGTGCAGTAGGAGCAAGAAGCACGGGAAGTGATAGAGGGTTGGGGTCACTCTCTGGACGGTCTGGCATTGTTTCGCTAGGGGCGCGGGGAGCGAGTCTAAGATGAGGGTGCCAGTTGCAAAGGGACCAGCAGATAGGAGAAAAGAGCCTTGCGGGGAAGTCTTGGGGCCTCGCTGTTGAAGGAAAGGCCCAGGGCATGACCTCTGGAGATGAGAGCAATGGAACGGAGATGGGGCGCAGGTAGAACCGAGTCGGAAATTCTGTCCACTTTAAGGCAGTCTTAGAGGAGTGTGTTCATACGCAAAAATTACCACAAATTATTCATCACAGTTATCACTGGTAATATGTCAGCAGTAAACCAATGATCCTCAGGCAGAGGGCTGCCTGCCTGCAGTGAATACATCTTCTCAGTTGTCAGGTGCACCTTTGAGTGACTGTTTCTTTTTCTTTGCAGAAGTTACATAAGACTCTGACACTTTGCTATTTGTTTTGGCTGATGGTAAAAACAATATGTCAAAAACTACACTGCCCATTTGTATAATACTTTATGCACCCATTTAAGGTAATTTCTGCATCAAACTCTCCTAGGTGCTTATACAGGTCCTGTATGTGTGCCATCATCTGGTACAGGGCTTTTTCAAAACTTCAGTCTCATTCCTCTCAGTATTTCTTGGACATATTAATAAATTTCTGGAACTTTTGAACATTAAAAGGAAAGAAAAACAAAAAAATGGTCCATTATTAACAGATACACACATTGACTATTTCAAGGCAAAGATAAAGCATTAATCAGAAGTTTGGTAAAATTTGGTACTAACCATTTTTTAGCTTCTCAGACTGTCATGTGCTTTTTTTTTTCGGGGGGGGGGGGCTGGAAGTATCAATTTAGAATCATAAAATCAGAGAATAGTAAATTCTTTAATTCTGTTTTTTCTCCCCACGCCTTTTAATCTATTTCTATGGTTTTAATAACAATTTGCTCTTTGATGTCCCTTTTCTTAGCACTGTAATTGAATATCAAATGGCCTATAAGACACGGTCACTTTAGATGTCCCCAAGCACTTTAAAAGTAACTTGTCCCAGATTGAGCACATCATTAGCCTACCCCTCTAACTCTGAACTTCCTATATTGTCTCACCCTGTTTTGGTGATTATTAGTAACATTCATCCAGTTTAAGACACAAAAATTTGAGTCATGCGACATCGTCTCTTACCTTCTCTATTAAATCATTCACAAGTTGTCTTGAATCTACTTGCTAAATATCTTTTCTATACCACTGCTCTAACCTTAGCCTGTCTTTTTCCTTCATAATTTTTAATGAAAATCTAACTGATCTTGCTTTCAGTTATACCTCTCCATTAGGTTCTGAAACTCCTGCCAAAGGTGTGATAAATACCAATCTGAGTGTAGTACTCTCATATCAAATAATTCAGTTAGATTTTTGAATGTTCATTGTATAAGGCATTGGACTGAATTTGGTGACTGCTTAGCCTCATTGCCCCCCTACTTTCCCTTCTCTAGCTTCTTCCTGCATGAGCTTTATGCTTTAGCTATACCAAACAACTTCAAGTTCTCCAAACATACCATCTTCCTCTTTGCTTTGGTCTGTGCTGTTCTTGTTTATCTTTCTGGGACTTGGAGCCCCCAAGTTCCCAGACTTTTTGATGTACAGTGTCTTTCTGTGGTGGGAAGAACATTGGCTTTGGCCTTGTCTGCCCTGGTTTTTATTCTCAGCTCTGTTACTTTGTGATCCTTGATCTCTGAGTCCCTGCTTCCTCATTTATAAAATGAGAACATGGTTACAATTTTGATTTCCAATTGGTGTTTCTACCTCTTTCATAGTTTCCTGTGCTTATCTTTTATCACTTTTAATTTAAAGAAATGATCAGAGAGTACATCCACATAGTAAATAAATAAAAAAAATTGAAAAATACAAAAAGAATATGCAAATAAAAGTAAGTTTTCACCCCAGAAACAAGGACTTAACATATTCTTGTAGTGCTGTATTGTTTTATCTTTCATTTCTGGGCCACTATGCCTAGTACAGTAAATGTTTTGAAAGAATAGATAAATAAGTGTTCAACTTGAAATTAATAAAAGTGAAACTAAGGCCTGGAAAGCTGGTGATGTCTGGAAGGTAGACCAAGCGTTGATGACAGGATTTGAAATTAAGAAGCTTAAGATAGCGAAATATATTGATGAAGATAGAAATGATTGTAAGTGTGTTAGGATTTTAAGATTCCTTTACTAGATGTAAAAGTAACTTTAACTTCATATACAGGAAAATATTTAGGTAGCATAAGGTCACTGTGATGCAATCATAAACTTTGGTATTTGTTGCCTATATGCTTAAAAAATGTTTGTCTAAACATTATTGTTCTTATACTTCCAGAGGGAGTTTGGAAGGGAAGAGAGAACAAAAGAGTTATAAAGCTGTTCTAGAAGACCCAATGCTGAAGTTTTCAGGACTGTACCAGGAGACCTGCTCTGACCTTTATGTTACTTGTCAAGTTTTTGCAGAAGGGAAGCCTTTGGCCTTGCCAGTGAGAACATCCTACAAGGCATTTAGTACAAGATGGAAGTAAGTTGTTTTCTTGCATATGGTGAGTTCCAGACTGTTCTCCAAAGTCTTTATAGATGTTTTAAGTATGATTTAGTAGTGATTACAGAGGAATTTAAAAAATTATTTAATACTTGTAAGGATTGATTGACCTAGATAGTTAAGATGGAAGTAAATTTGTTTGTATTCAGTATATTGACATATTTTTATGAGAACTTGACTGATTCACAAAATGACCCCCAAATCAAAAACACATTTTTATTGTATGAAACCAACTTTTAAAAAAAAATATATTTTATTGATTTGTTACAGAGAGGAAGGGAGAGGGATAGAGAGTTAGAAACATCGATGAGAGAGAAACATCGATCAGAAGCCTCCTGCACACCTCGTACTGGGGATGTGCTCGCAACCAAGGTACATGCCCTTGACCAGAATTGAACCTGGGACCCTTCAGTCTGCAGGCCGATGCTCTATCCACTGAGCCAAACCGGTTAAGGCAGTAATTTTGATTTTTTTCTTTTCATACTACAAAACCTGTGTTCCGGGGAATGCTTATACGAAATCACAGTTTGGTTCAAAACAAGTTTGGTTATAACCAGGTTTAAGTGGTTTCCCAGATTATTATTAGCTATTATCATATTTCTTGTGTCTTAGTGATATTGTCTGAGTTTTTTTATTAAAGGATTTACCGGTGTTGTTTTTTTATGAGTTTTGTTTTTTTTAAACTTTTTCATGTATTCTATATTTAAAATTGAAGTTGCCTAGAGCGAAACTAAGGTAACTCGCATTATTTTTTGTAGTACTAACTTAATCTTTGAGGCATTTTTTTCTGGCCAAATCTTCTGGCATGGTTTGTTAATTTAAAAGAAAGTTTTAAATATATAATATATGCTTATGTTGACTTTATTTCCATAGCTGGAATGAATGGCTAAAACTGCCTGTGAAGTACCCTGACCTGCCCAGGAATGCCCAAGTGGCCCTGACTATATGGGATGTGTATGGGCCAGGAAAGGCAGTGCCTGTGGGTGGGACAACGGTTTCGCTCTTTGGAAAATACGGGTAAGCATTCTCTTCTAATCTTTAGGGATGTTGTAGTTTCTCATCCTTTTTCTTTTTGGGAAGTTCATGCCAGTCTGCTTCTCTGTGTGTACATGTTTGGTACATGATTCCATAATTCTTGAGACTGAATTTCGTATAGGATATACAGACAGATTAATTAAGAAACACAATTTATATTACTCTACTGTTAGTGACTGGTAATGTGATTCCTATTAGAAAATAGTATTGGAAATTAGAATCTTTTAGGAAAAAAGACTATGTGGCATATACTGTGAGAGCTTTGTTTTTCTGCTTTGTCATAATAGTGATAAAAAGGACAATGAGCAGGGTTAAAAAGCACTAATTTGCTAATAGTGGTAATGACTATAATAGAACAGTTGTTAATTCTGTTTTTAAAGATTTACAGATAATAGAAGTTTATTGTGAAAAAACACAACCCATATTTCTATCCCTTTTGTTGATATTCTGTTACTCTTTCTGAGTATATTAATTGGAATTTTTCTTTGAAGAACTTGATCTCTTATCAAGTTTAAGAATGAGTTGGTACCCTGGTAACCTGCAAAAGTAATTGATGATTTTTGTTTTTTGTCTTTAAGTTTTGTCATGAACTTGTAGTCTTAAACATTTTTGAAATGTTTCCATTGCTATCTTAAAGCTTTATAATGTTCAGAAACTCCCATTTTTGGTCAATCGGAGCCCCTTCAAGTTGACCCATGTCCTTTGTAGTCATAAGTAGCTTCTGTGCTTTTTGGCAGATAAGCTATTCCAGGCTCCTTGGGCAATTTTCTGCCCCAAACTTGGTTTCTCTGAACACATCTGATGTTAGATACAAATGAAACATGTTAGCGAGCAGCTCCGATTCTGAGAAATTTCCTCCCTTAGAGCAGGGTTTCTCAAAAATGAGTCATTGACTTACCACTTTCAGAATTCCTGCATATATCTATATTAAATACATTCAGTCTTATTTACTTGGTATTTTTATTTAAACCAGCTCACTTTTTTTACTTCCATTTAATTGAAAGCAAAATTTTAATATCTTGGTATACATGGAAAATAAGTGTTATTTAACTTTGGTGGGTAATGACAAAAATAAATACAATGAAAATAACTATGTTACTAAATATTACAACTTTAAGAAAAAAAAAAAAAAAACACCCTAAGAAACAAATGATAGTAAATCTGTTTGCTTTGCAAATATGTATATGATACCTAACCAAAAAAATCCTTTAATTAGGATGCTCTGTGTCTAGTCAGATATAAGGGGATATTCAGCTCACTGTCACTTTATTTAAGGTAAAGATAAGGTTTTACATCAACATTTCATTTTACACCTATATGGTAGTAGGGCATTTATTCAAACAATAGCATTAGGTAGTAATAGAGCTCTATGGACACTCTGAGCAGTGGGGAAGAAATGTGAAAAACCTGTCCTATTCCCTCTAGGCCAGTGGTTCCCAAACTTATTTGGCCTACCGCCCCCTTTCCAGAAAAAATATTACTCAGCGCCCCCTGGAAATTAATTTTTTTAAAAAATTTTAATAGCAATTAAACAGAAAGATATATGTATTAATGTTTCTACCTTTTTCGTAAAATATAGTAAAGAAAGGTGTAAATTAGAAACATTGAAGTTTGAAATTATGAAACTATTTATTGAACTCAAAATAGAAAGGTAATACAAAAAAAGTTAAAACAAATGCACCTGTGGCCATCACTGCCCCCCTGGATCGCTGCAGCGCCCACCAGGGGGCGGTAGCGCCCACTTTGGGAATCACTGCTCTAGGCTGATGCTTCTACTGACCTTCATCTCAGAAAAAGGAATTCGAAGAAAGCCTATTATGCAACTAAAATACCTCCTTTTTCTCTCTGTGTCCTGGGCCTTTCCTTGGGGGTGAACTTGGTTTCATGGGAGACAAGCCCAGGGAGTCCCTGGCATGGCCTTGCCCTTCCTGTGCAGCTTTGGATTGTGGAGGAATGTGACATTCAGGATGTTCAGGGGCTACAGCGGAGTGCAAACATGGACTGTACTGCTGCACAGCTGTGTGTGGTGCTGCTGACATCCAGGGAGAGAACGCAGCATGAGGCTTCTGGGTGGCCTTGGCAAGAAGCCTGTGCAACTTTCTTCCACCTGCCATTAAAAGTCATGCCACGTGCCTCCCCATTCTCATGACTTAGGCAAGTGGTAGTTTCCTCAAATGTTTCTTAAACAATGAAATAACACCACATGCTCCCCACCTTGTTCCCTAAGTAGTCCTGGTGTGGCCTTCGTAGCTTTTAAAAGGGTTCCTCAAAATGCCTAATAGTTGCATTATAGTATTCGGAGTCTTGTGACTGTCAGTATCTGTTTTGTATACTTGAGTCAGTGTGAAGCAGTACTTCTTGGAGAATAGTGTAATAATAATTGAAAGACTAATCTGTTAGAATATGGTTAGAATAAATTGTCCTCATTCTGAATGTCTAGCTTGTGAGATTTCTAAGGAGGTGAGGAATGGATTGATCGTTAGATTGAATTGGCAAAGAACTACAGGCAAGCTGCAGATTTCTCTTGCAGATGTTTTTTCCAAATGTGAACTCGGAGGTCTGGGCAGTTGCTGCTGCAGTGGCTTGGCATGGGAGCTGGAGCAGCAGCAGCAGCTGTTGCTGGGGCCTCTGCAGGCATCTGAAGGGGATCCTGCTGTGCTGTTCCTTTTGTCTTGCCTGCTTGGCTTAATTTCCCAAGTGGACAGGATGCTCTGAGCATCTTCTGGCTTGCCACCTGGAGGCTGTGTAACTCTCTACAAAGTTTCCATTAGTGTCAAAAGAAAGTAATACGTTCACTTGATCATTTGAGTCACTTGCTACCACCCCTGCCCTCCATGTCCCCTGTCCTTAAATCTTCTCTCCGGATCCATCCCAAGGCACCTAAATCATTTAGTAAACTGACTTCCTGCCAAACGTAGTTATTTTTTATTTAAGTTCAGTCAGTCAAAGTATTCACTGGGGTATAGGGAGGTGGAGAAAAAGGAGGGAGACCATCCTTTGTTTCTGAAGGTACATTTAAGGGTAATCATTTAAAGTGATGTTGCTGCCTCACTGTACCTAGTTTCTTAGAGTCTAAGCAGGTCTGCTTGATGTTGAATCTAATACTCAGTTGAAAGGGAATGAAAATGAACTTTATGAAAGGCTTGTATATGTGTGTTTTTTGTAATGTAAATTTTTTTGAAAGCTCTAACATGTTAAATATTAAGATTTTTGGTTCTTTACTACAAGTCAGTGCATTTGTTTTGGGCCTATAAGGTAAACTTTCCCAGATATAGTTGCTGGATATTACCTGTTTACTGCCAACCTTAGAGCTAAACCTTGCAACAGATACGGTCTTTAATCTTACTGTGCTCATGAGCTTGCAGCTATCCTTTATAGTTCCCAGTCTAAATGTTTATGGCATCATTACTTTGCATAATGTTCAGTGAAAATCCTCTTTATTACTTCAGGAAAATCTGTGAAGAAAGTTTCCATTAGTCAAAGCGTGATAATAATAGTTTTTAAAATGTATGTAAAACTTTTAAAGTGTAATGTTTTTAAAGATCAAGAAAATACATCAATATATGTGCAACGTGTACCTTACTTTAAAAAATACTTAATGTGAGAACAAAATGCTTTGGGCTTGCCTATTCACCTGCACACACTTACAGTCTTATTCTTTCCACCGCAATTGGCAGCTTGCTCTTTCAGCTTTGGGGCGATGCTATTTTAGGAGATATATTGTCTGAACAGTTTTGTTAAAAAAACAAACACAAAAAAACACACCATACACCTAAAAAAGAAAGAACACATTAACAGAAGACTTTCTTTATTTTTACCTCCCACCCCTATAAAAAAAAATAAAATAAAACCACTCAGAAACGACAGTAGCATATCTATAAAAACACAGTTTTCCAAACTTCCTTTATGCAGTGGTTCTCAACCTTCCTAATGCCGCGACCCTTTAATACAATTCCTCATGTGTGGTGACCCCCAATTTCATTGTTACAAATTGAACGTAATTAAAGCATAGTGATTAATCACAAAAACAATATGTAATTATATATGTGTTTTCTGATGGTCTTAGGCAACCCCTGTGAAAGGGTCGTTCGACCCCCAAAGGGGTCGCAACCCACAGGTTGAGAACCGCTGCTTTATGGGTTTGTTCAACCTGTATTCTACATCTTAGTAGTTTTTTGAAGGAAACAGGACAATCAAAGGTTATAAAGTGTTTCAATTTAAAGCAGATGATCAAGCTTAGATTGAAGTTCTGATTATATATTTTGTAGACATGGGAACTTTTTCTTGTATAAATCCACTATTGTATTTCCCATTAGGCATTGCTCTTACAGAAAAGAAGACAGGAGGATCAACCTGTACCTAGTGAAAAAGATAACATTAGTTAACATTATTGAATACTTATTATGTGGCAGGTACTATTGAAGTACTTTTTACTTGTGCTGATGTGTTTAATTTTTCTAATAGCCCTGTGAGACACAGGTACTCTTTATAATCCCACTTTATAGATTAGGAAACTGAGGCACAGAGAAGTTAAGCAATGTACCCAAGGTCACTTAGGTAATAGATGCCACAAGTGGGATTCAAACCCCAGCAGTTTGACTGTGCAGTCTACTATGCTGACTTGTCATGTAAAGTAGACAGTTAAGTAATTATTTAAATTTTGTTTCAATCATTGTAAATGTGACATTCCTTCATTGGGTCGCAATTTGGTTTCCATTATTTTAAGATCTCCACTGAAGTTACGAAGGGTGTATGGCCCATGAGGATCCTTCTGTTTGTCCAGTCTACCTTTAGGACTCTGTAAAAGTCTGAGTGCTTGGAGGAGAAAAGAATGGCATGTGAAAAGCAGTGTGACATGGGTTTTAGCTGCTTAGTTAATTGCATTGCAACTCACTGGAGGCTTAAAGGTTGGCAAGAGAGACATGCATTTCCTAGAGTGGAATTCTCTCTGTTTAGGGATTAAAAATTTCCTGTAATGAACTGCATTAATTTACTTCTACCCTGAACATTCTCTTTTTGCCTAGCATGTTTCGTCAAGGGATGCATGACTTGAAAGTCTGGCCTAATGTAGAAGCAGATGGGTCAGAACCCACAAAAACTCCTGGCAGAACAAGCAGTACACTCTCAGAAGATCAGATGAGCCGCCTTGCCAAGGTAAAAATATAAGCTTTTCCAACTGGTGGGAAGCTCTGAATGATGTCTAATGTAGTATAAGTTAACCTTTTCAATTCTGTCAGATTATTTTTTTTTAATTTAGATTTAATTTTTTAATAGTAGCTTTATTGAAATATAATCCATATATCATAAAACTCACTCTTGAAAAGTATACAGTAACTTAAGTTTTAGTAAATTCTGAGGTGTGCAATCATCACCACTATTTAATATCAGAACATTTTCATCAAAAATGTAACCATGTACCCAATAGCAGTCATTCCCCATTCCCTCCTCCCTCCTGCCCCTGGAACTTCTAGTCTTTCTGTCTTTGTGAATTTTCCTATTCTGGACATTTCATACAAATGGAATCATACATTGTGTGGCCTTTTGTGTCTGTAATCCCATCAGATTAGAGAATGGGGAGTTTTTGGTGATATTTTCAAGATGAACTTTTTTTTTGGTGACATAGTCTTAAAGATGCCACGTGTTACATGCTAGAGAACCTTACGTTGTTTGGAATTGAAGATTACTTAGTCTAAATTGTCCTCTCTCCACTCCCACTCCTGTTTTTGTAAGAAGACTGAGTTTTGTAAGAAGACTTTATCTTTCAAAATTGTTTTACTGAAGTGTTTTTATTTAGAAATACAAAAGCTAAGCTCAAATCTGAGCTTAAGTCAGAACAAAATAACTTTTGTCAATATCTGTTCCCAAAGCACTATGCTAAATACTATTTGAAGATCCTTTTTGGTACAATACACTTTTAAAAACTGGGAAAGCAAATATATGCTTATGATTCTATTTTTATACAAAAGGAACAGAAATTGTAGATGTAATACTTTATATTTTACACACTCTCACTTTAAGACAAGAAATGAGTATACAAATAGATGAGGTTTACGGGGATAGAATGGAATGGTTTGTTTCCTGTTGCACTTTTGATTTTCCAGCCAGTGAATTTACTATGCCTGTTTCTAATTGTCGAGAAGGCATTTGGTATAAGAGTAACAAGGTGTACATAAATCTTAATAATACGACAGCATAGTTATCGTACATTGTACCCACGAGCCAAAATAAATAGCATAGTGACAGTTTTCAAACTGTAATGTAAGAAAGTTTATTCAGTTATAGTACTGCCTAAGTCTTGACTGCCTGGGGATAATGGCACAAGAGGACTGTGAAATGAAGATGAACTATTTAAATGGCCTGTGAAAAGATGGTGTTAGATGATTATTAAACAAAGAACCTCAAACCCAAGCTGGATTAAATATTCTTATTCTGATTTATTGCTCAGCTATGCAAATAGAATTATAACCACAATATGAATAACTGAAGTTTAAAAGCCTTACTTCTAGGTTTAACAATTTAAAAATCAAATCCTTTCAGAAGAATTTTAATGGAATTAACCTCTCTAATGATTGTACATCATTTTGTGAACATGTGTAGTTTTCCTTTGAGGAAAAATGAGTGTGAGAAAAGGAGACAAAACTGAATAATCTTTGGTTTAGTTCAGGGGTCCTCAAACTTTTTAAACAGGGGGTCAGTTCACTGTCCCTCAGACCGTTGGAGGGCTGGACTATAGTTTAAAAAAAAACTATGAACAAATTCCTATGCACACTGCACATATCTTATTTGAAGTAAAAAAACAAAACGGGAACAAATACAATATTTGTATTTGCATGTGGCCTGCGGGCCGTAGTTTGAGGACCCCTGGTTTAGTTAAGTTTATATAACTGGATTTCTTAGACTTACTGGGAACAGGAAGAAATTAACATAGTACAATCGCCTCCCCCCTGCCCCCACATTTCCCTCATTATTTTCTCTTTCCCATCTCTAAATTGCCCTAATAATTTTTTTTAAAAATATGTTTTATTGATTTTCTACAAAGAGGAAGGGAGAGGGATAGAGGGTTAGAAACATTGATGAGAGAGAAACATCGATCAGCCGCCTCCTGCACGCCCCCCACTGGGGATGTGCCGGCAACCAAGGTACATGCCCTTGACCAGAATCGAACCTGGGACCTTTCAGTCCGCAGGCTGACGCTCTATCCACTGAGCCAAACCGGTTCTGGCTGCCCTAATAATTTTTATTAATATAAATATTTCTGGGGTTTTTTTGGGGGGTGGGGGGAAAAATAAATAAGTATTTCTGTTTTAATTGATTTGTGAAAATAAAGGCCAGATTTCTGGAACATTCATTACACTTTCATTGTCCATGACCCAGCCTTTTAATGATTGTGGCCTTGAGCAAATCTGCCCATTGTTCCCATCTGCTCTGTTTTTCAGCTTGTCATATTTTAAGAGTTTTATGACTAGGATGCATATCCACCTGGGGTTTTGGATGTGACTACCAAGCTTTAGTGTTTGATTTATACTTGAATCCATGTCTTTAGACATGAAAGGTTAGTGCAAAAGCATGCTTCTCTACTGTCTCCTTTTCATTTTAGCATCTCTGCTTGATGCCTTTGGAATGTGCTTTAGTTTCTGTCAATTTGATTAAGAGGCCGCAAAGAGAAAGTAACAACTAGATGAAAAATGTTTTGTGGTCTGAGTGATACAGATAGGTGGGGGAATGTTGAACAGTGTGTAAGTGAGCATTGGTACAGTGACGTAGTGTAAGATGTGATGTTTTAGACTATACTTGAATCCATGTCTTTAGACATGAAAGGTTAGTGCAAAAGCATGCTTCTCTACTGTCTTCTTTTCATTTTAGCATCTCTGCTTGATGCCTTTGGAATGTGCTTTAGTTTCTGTCAATTTGATTAAGAGGCCGCAAAGAGAAAGTAACAACTAGATGAAAAATGTTTTGTGGTCTGAGTGATACAGATAGGTGGGGGAATGTTGAACAGTGTGTAAGTGTGCATTGGTACCATAGTTACATTGTCATAATCACACTTTAAGTGCTCTCTAGCCACATGTGGCTAGCAGCTACCCATTGGACAATGAAGAAATGGAATCTTTTCATTATTGCCGAAAGTGCGATTGGATAGCACTGGCCTAGAGTGCCATTGTACTAATTTGTAATGGATGAGTAACCATATTATTGTCTTCCTGGTAATCAGGTTATTTGTGTCTACTACACAGGACACCATTTTTCAATACCTTGGAAATTAAGTTAGTCTTCAGGAGATTGCTGATTCTTAGTGAACCATCAAGCATGAGCTACCCTGAAGGAACCAGAAAGTTGTGTGAGATATTTCTCTCATTTTGAAGGAAGTGTTAAAAGGGCTTTCTCTCTTGACATTATCTTTCTAGTTGCAGGATTACTTGAACCTGCTGTCTGCACAATATGGTAGGAACTTCAGGGTACAGACATGTGAAAACCCTTTACTAAGGATAAAAGTCAAGTAGAACAGATGCTGTCCTAGCAGTTGGTTAGAGAGTATTGTCCCCATATGCCAAGGTTGTGGGTTCGATCTCCGGTCAGGGCACTATAAGAACCAACCAATAAATGCATAAGTAAGTGCAACAACAAAGCTCTCTCTCTCTTCCTTTCCCTCTCCCTCTCCTTCTCCCTCTCCCCCTCCCTCCCTCTCTTTCTCCCTCTCTCCCTTCTTTCTCAAATCATTTTTTTTTAACTTAGAAGAACAGATGCTGATACACTTATAGAAACATTTTAGGAGCCACACAGAGAAAGCAGTTGCTAGTTTCTTTGTGTGAACAGCTAGAAAGTTAGTATTGGTAAAGAAGTCTCTTTTATTCAGTTCATTTAGATGAATCTAGAAAAGGGAAAAGATTAATTAGAAAATAAGGTTGGCAAATGTTTTGGATTTAAGAAATATGATTTAAGAAATGAGTTTTGTTATAAGCTGGACATCATTTTTTGTTACAAATACTCGAATAGATTCAAATTGATGATTTATGTGAATTTTTTATTTATTTATTTTTTATTGCTTAAAGTATTACAAAGAGTATTACATATGTCTCCTTTTTTTTTCCCCCCCACCCTTGACAATCCCCCAGCCTTCCCTACCCTCCAGTGTCTTATGTCCATTGGTTATGCTTATATGCATGCATACAAGTCCCTTGCATGATCTCTTACTCCCCCCCCCCCCCCCCCCCGCTTATGTGGATTTTAAATTCTGTATGTATTCTATAGTTAGATTTTAGAGAAATGGGGAACATGGGATTATTCAAGGAGATGTTTTGAAAAATAGAGGCATTACCTTTCTTTTTATGCTTTTAAAATTAATAGAACTATCAAAACTGGTGGAAGATTTAAATAGTAATAAGTTACATTATAACTGGGTAGAAAGATTGGGAGTCAAAAGACCTGATTTATAGCTCTGACACTGGCTCATTGAATAACCAGTTACTTCTGTACTTGTGAATATTTTTCATTGAAGAAGTTTGGGTAGTTGGGCTCTCTTTTCCCTATTTATAAGAATCATAATTATACCATTATTAACATTTTTTAGCTATTCTGAAAAAGAAACAACCTCAGAGCAGTTTGTTCATAGTATAGCATGTTAAGTGTACTCTTCTTGGGTTCTAAATACATTTCTACTTTGAAGCAGCTATGTGAGAAAACATTCATGTAAAAGCAGTTTAATAGAACACATTATTTAGTAAGACCTATTAAAAATCTTTTCCCTCCTTTTAATGACATAGTTTACTATTTTCAGAATATAATACTGAGTCCCTAGAGATAGTTTTGAGTTTATGTTAGGGCTTTTCTAGGGAAGTTATTATTCTTTGTAATATCTGTACTTGATTAGGTCTCCTCACCTAAGTGTCAGTTTTTCCATAGTGATAATGATTTAACTTGATAATCTTTATTTTTCTAACTTCCTACCAGTTCACTTATGAACTGATATTAGTTATGGTATAAACAGTATATGTAATGCAGTATTGGACTAAATTGGATAGAAAAGTCTCATTTTGTTTTATTTTCTTTCTCAATGTTTGTAAATGAAAATAATAACAGATTATGATGACCGATGCTGAAATTATTCAAACTATGAAAACTTGCTTAGTGGCAACATTGACATCGAAATTACCTCTTAGCTACAGGTTTTTTTACTAAATAATATGTGTAACTTTTATAAGCATAGCTTATTTGGTTCTATGTTGCCATTTTTTTCTGTCATAAAAGAAGGATTTGGGAATCTCTTAGAAATGTATTCCTGATGATACATAGTAGAATCTTTTCTATCAGTCATTTTGGTTTGCTTACTGTTGTCTGAGACTGTCTAAACTTCTCGATTTTTCTTGAAATTAATGGTAGCAAGTAGACAATTAGTTTGAGAGGGAAAGATTGAACCCTGAAATAATATTGATTTATGTCTGTCTTTACAGCTATAATTCCTGCCAGAAAAAAATAGGAGGTAACGTGGTTTTAAGACTAGATTAATCTCTGAGAAGTTTAGCTGAATGCAACTTTTATGAGGCAAAGACTACTCTTCCTGAATAAGATTTCTATGTAAAGTTTCAAAGTAAAATTGAAGATTTGTGGCAAAGACTTTATTAATCAGGAAGCTGAAAGCACTTTTGTGCTACCTAAGAATTAAATACACAGGCATGTGTGCAAATTCTTTAGGAGACGCGTACAACTCCTTTTTTACTTTCAGTAGTTGTTCAAGTGAATTCTTATATACAGCTGCATTTTGTCTTGAATTATAAATTACTGCATTGCTTGCATTTTATTTGATACAGATAAAACTCAGTGTCTTAATATTTATTGAAGAGAATTATACTTTTTAATAATAGAAATTTATGAGTGAACCATATTGCATTATGCAAATGGACTAGCTGAGGGATAATGCTGTTCTGTTCAATGACTGTTTATTAATTTAGCTCAGTTGTAGTCTAGGATCAAGGAAATGTTAAAGTTAAAAGAGTAATATTATGGCCTTTAACTGAAAGGAATTTAGAAGAACAAGATAGGAGGTAGTTCAAGAAACACTATCCTGTATGATTATGTGAGGGGGTTAGGGGGAGATAGTCTTACCTAATGGCAGTATCAGGCATTTTTATTGGGCAATATTCCTATAAATGCTTCAAGAGAGAATTTTGAACATTTGCATAGGCTCTGTGAATCTAAAAGTTTTCTGTCTGGTGACAGAGCCGAATGGATTTTTTTCTGCTTATTTGTATGTTGTTGTTTTTTAAGTGGCACAGAAAAAAACAAGTAAAAAATATATAGCTTTGTCATTATTTTCCCCCTTAGGTTCCCTAAGAAAGCCTATGTGTATCTGCACCAATATCCCCTACTGTATAGCTACTTTTTGAGGAGAAATCCGTTTACTGTGTAACTTTCCTGTTAAAGTTTCTTGATAAGAGCAAGCTTGATGCCTAAAGCCTATAAATTTCTATATTATAACAGTTTTTATTAACCACATGTTGAAAAACGGTAGCATTGCTTAATTTATATGGTTCTTCAGTTGGATCTAGATCAACGGTTCTCAACCTGTGGGTCATGACCCCTTTGGGGGTCGAACGACCCTTTCACAGGGGTAGCCTAAGACCATCGGAAAACATATATATAATTACATATTGTTTTTGTGATTAATCACTATGCTTTAATTATGTTCAATTTGTAACAATGAAAATACATCCTGCATATCAGATATTTACATTACGATTCATAACAGTAGCAAAATTACAGTTATGAAGTAGCAACGAAAATAATTTTATGGTTGGGGGTCACCACAACATGAGGAACTGTATTAAAGGGTCGAGGCATTAGGAAGGTTGAGAACCACTGATCTAGATGAAAGGCCCTTGTAAGAAATAATTTGAGAGAACAATTATGTTAGTACCTGGCTTTCATTTCAGATGGTGAAGTAATGTTAATTAAACGGGTTTTTATTCTTTGGGTTTTAAAATATGAGGTAAAATAACTTTATTTGGCATATCTTAATAAGTGCTAATTTTTGGTGGTTTTCTCAACAGCAGTCTTTGCACAATGAATTGTTTTTTTAAATAGCTTTAGTTTTTAAATAACATTATTTTTTCTTATTACAAAGATAATACACATTTTCTACCATGGTAGAAGATGGTTAAAGCACAGACACAATAAAAATTACCTCTGACCCTCTGCCCAAAAATAACCGTCATTAATATGTTGCTTGATATATGCTTTCAATAAATTAATATGTGTTATGTATGAATTTATTTATAGACTAGTGGCCCAGTGCACGGATTCGTGCACATTGAAAGGAAATTAATTAGAAGAAAGATTCGTGCAGTAATTATGTTACTGCAAAAAATTACATGTCAAAATAGTCAATATACTATATATAATATAGTTTTATAAAATTAAAACACGTGTGCGATTGGCACCAGCGAGAGCTTCACATGTATCATGCATGTGTGAGTCAACATTTATTTTTAAATTGCCAGTGTGCGTCATATGTGTCGGAGGGACAGAAGGATGGATGGTCGGTCACTTAGCCTTTTATGTATATAGAAGATGTTTTTAAACTGTCATCATATTGTGTGTGTGTGTGTGTGTGTGTGTGTGTTTAATTGAATATTGCTCTAACACTTAATGGTGTCTCAAAATTGTTTCAGGTCATTTAAGATACAGCAGATCCTCAAATGATGTCATTTCCTTATAATGTTGATTAGATGCTGTAGGAACAGAACTCTTGGTTATATCAATTCGCCTTTGGTAAAATTTGTTTTGTTACAGGTCATTTTGTTTGAAGTCATAGAACCTATCAATAACTTTAAGTAAGGATTTACTGTACTAGTACAACATGTTTGTAAAGACTTCAAGTTTTTGCATAGTATAGATATGCTATAATTTATTTCAGCAATCTTCTGTGGTTGCATATTCAAAATGTTTGTGATTCTGTGCTTCTGTAAAGCTGATATCCAATTAAAGTTTTCTATTGGCTTGAAAATGAAAAGTGAGGCTTGTACTACATTTTTTTCTTTTGAAGGGTGTAACTCCTGTTTCTAGATTCATTTTTTGTATGTAGCTGTCTAGCTAGTTCTTTTGTTGAAAAGAGTATCTTTGTTGCATAGAATGGCTTCTGCTCCTTTGCCAAAGATCATTTAACTATAGTTATGTGGATATATTTCCAGAGTTTTTATTCCATTAGTATATTTGTCTGTTCTTTTGCCAATGCCAGACTCTCTTGATTATTGTAGCTTTATAATAATTCTTGATGTTGGGTAGTGTCAGCCCTCAAATTTTGTTATTTTCCTTCAATATTATGTTGACTGTTCTGGATCATTTCCTCTCCACATAAATTTTACCGTCCTTTTGTTATCTGCAAATAAGTTGCTGGGATTTTCACTGGGATTACATTAAATTTATAGATCAAGTTTAATCAAACTGGAAATCTTTACATAATTTTGAGTCTTCCTGTCAATGAACAGGAATATCTTTCCATTTGTTTAGTGTTGTTGTTTTTTTTTTAATTTCATTTATCAGAGTTTTGTGGTTTTCCTCATATAGATCTTTTACATATTTTGTTAGATTTTTACCAATTTCATTTTTCTGGGTGTTAATATAAATGATGCTTAAAAAAAATAACAGCTTTATTGAGATATCATTTACATACCTCTGTTTTTATTTTCAACTGGAGGCCCAGTTCACGAATTCGTGCACAGGTGGGGTCCCTTGGTCTGGCCGGCAATTGGGGCTGATGCAGGGGCCGGCCGGCTGGGGGGAGGTACCGTGGGAGGTTGGCCCCAGCAGCAAGCTAACCAACGGCCAATCTGTGAGGAATTGGGCTTCCTCCTCCCCCTGTCTGTGTCCGGGGTGCAGGTGAACCAGATTCGGGGCTGTTGGGGCCCCAGCAGCAAAGTCTGGGTCAGTGCGCATCATAGCTACCAGCCGATCCTCCGGTCATTCTGGTCGTTGGGTCGTAAGGGTCGCTTAGGCTTTTATATATATAGATTTAATGTGTTTATTGCTGGTACATAAGAAAGTAATTGAGTTTTGTATATTAACCTTATGTTCTGCAACCTAGCTGTAATTGCTATTAGTTATAGGGGTGTTTTGTTTTGTTTTTGTAAATTCTTTCATATTTTCTACATAGATGGTCATGTCATCTGTGAACTTAGACAATTTTCTTTTCTTCTCAATCTCTCTTATTACATTAGCTAGTATTTCCAGTATGATTCTGAAAGGGTGTGATGGACATCGTTGTCCCCTTTCCACCTTCCTTTCTGTGAGGTCTGGGTTAAAATTTTCTTCATTATATTTGTTCTGCAGCTCACCAAAGCCCATCGACAAGGACACATGGTGAAAGTAGATTGGCTGGACAGATTGACATTTAGAGAAATTGAAATGATAAATGAGGTGGGTTGTATCCCTTTTTTATTTCAAAATATTTTCTCTCAGCTATCTAAATCAAGAATTTTTTTGACAAGATTTATTGCCAGGTATCTATTGGGGCTATTGAATAAGTGTAGTTTAGGGAGTTCTATGCTAGTAAGTGAAAATGTGTGATATATGCCTTTCTTATATCTCAATGTTATAAATAGGTAGTGGATATAGCAAGTGTCTTAAATATTATATAAGTGAAGCCTTTGTGAGTTTGATGCTTCATTTGTGTGTTCTATCTCCATTTGGCAGCTCATTATGTTCAAGTTCAAGTCAATATTAGATACATTTATCAACAGTGGTACCTCTTCATTTCAGTTACCTTAAATCATTGTTAGCAAGTTCTCTCCCCAGTTAGATACTTCTTGTTTTACATACTGCATATAGGACTCTGCACCCTTAATGAAGTTGTGTGGTTCAAGTAGTTGATTTATTTCTTGATTTTATATATTGGTATAGAATATGTTTATTTAAAAGATGACATCAATGAAACTTCCTGAAAGTGAGAACACATATTTTTCTTTTTTGTGTATTTACACTGAAATAGATGTCTGGTCTAACATTCAGTATCAAGATAGCAGAAAAAAACAGTTATATTAATTACATTAGGGAAGAGGAGTATCAATTTTGTGATATGCCTAGCTTATAGAGACATCTACAGATCACTGTTCTTTGAAAAGTGTTCAGGAGGTGGAGAGAGAGAAAAATTTTTCATTTTTATAATGAAGACTTGTAAAAGTTATATCCCGACATTACCTTTTAAAAAAATCAGTGGTGTTTAACCATTTATATGCAGTATGAATATGGGCGTCATTCCCAAATTTATTCATACTACATTCTCATATTCAAACTGTAATAGAAGTTAATTTTTGTGAATTTTTATAATGGTCGCATTCCAAAAATAGTTTAATCAAAATACTTCGCTATTATTTTTTTATCCTTCAACTTAGGTTCCCCTAGGGTAGAAAATGTAATGTTAGGGCTTACTTTGCCCAGCATTTCCCATCCCCCCTCCCCCCCCCCATAAAAGATAAGAGACCATTAGTTACCCTAATAGAGTATAATATGCTTTATAAAGCTGAAAATTTAAGTGACCTCCTTAGACTTTTATATGATTTTATACATGTAGATTTAAAACCATTTAAAAAACTTTTTTGGGTCAAGACTAACCACCTTTTAGACTTCATTTGATTTTCACTTCTTTAACAACATAGTATTTGCTTTTTTAAGGGGACAAGTTTATACACAGAATCAACATTTCTTATGTTAAGGTGGAAGTAACTCTTTTCCAGTATACTTTAAAAAATTTGATAAAAATTTACAAATGCCTGCACGTCCTCTCAAGATCACTTATAAATTTTGAAAAACTTATAAAGTTTATATTTGTTAGGTCAAATGACCTCAGTCCTTTGTTTTCACACTTTAACTTTTGATTTTTGTCATAATTGTATTAATTGATATAGTTAGATTTGTCATATGGTTTAAGGATGAATTGTTCTTTGCTTACAATTGTTAGAAGTACAAAACATCCTTATTGTTGAAAGTAAAGAGTTCTAATGCAGTGTATACATAATATCATCAAGATTTTAATAAAATCCAAACTACTGAATAAACCAATGATGTCATTAAGTTTAGGAGAGAGTTGTAAGTGACTAGTAGATGGTACTGGGTAAAAGAGTGGTGCTGTGTATAAGATAGAAGTGCTGCATGAAACAGTGCATTTATAATAACGAAATGAAAATTTGTCACATTCTAAGTTGTACCTGATAGATCCATGTATTACTGAATTGGGAATAACGATACATACTGATTCTTTAGGAGAATGTTGAAAATGGTTATTTTTCAACATTATATATGCAGAATTAATAAAAATCTTTTTTTTTTTTAGAGTGAAAAACGAAGTTCTAATTTCATGTATTTGATGGTTGAGTTTCGATGTGTCAAGTGCGACGATAAAGAATATGGCATTGTTTATTATGAAAAGGTATTTGCCTTGGAACTGTTATGGTCTCTAAAGTAGAGGGGAGGGGAAACATTAAAAAAAATTACTGTTGTTCCTGCTGAGATGAATTATTTGGTTGCAGGATAGCAGAAGACAGCTGTCAGGTGCAGCTGTTTATGTATGCACAAATCATCCTGTAGCTCCAAGATTACAAAAGCCGATCATTCATAGAATGCAGTTCTGGGTTACAGAATTCAATAAATATGCAAGAGATCAAAAACTTTTTGATTAATTATTCTGAAAAGTGGCAAGTAAGATATTAAAGCAATAGCTTTATTAACAATTAAAATTCATTTGAAAAGTAAAAAGGGGGATCATGCTTTTTTTTTTAAGTAGTATGCTATTGAACATTAAGGATTGCTTGTTACTTGAGTATTTATATATAATGTAATGGAATTTTATATGTGATCCAAACATAAGTATGCTTATGAAAGACTTCACAAATCTACATTTATTTATATGTAAAATATATGCAGAATTAAGAAAATAATGTTATCAGTAGGCTGAGTGATAACATGCAATTCTGGATTTCCTCTGCTCTGCTCATTACATGAAAGAAAGTGGTGTGTGGTTTGACATGTAGCCTCCAGAAAATACCTGTGTCTTAAATGCTTATTGAAGGGTCTTTATTCAAGTACCACAAAAATAACTGTACTTAGTTCAAAAAATATAAACCAGATATCTGCAATCGTTGTAGAAATAGTAAGGCAAGTGCTTACATCAGTACGAATGAGGAGTCTTTTAATACATGACATAATAGAAAAATATTTTCTCTAGTATATAGCTAAGCTTATCCCATATAATGAAAGCCTAATATGCTAAGTGCCCAGTTGTCCAGTCTTCCGTTCAACCAATCAAAGCGTAATATGCTAATGATATGCTAAGGCCACTCAACCACTTGCAGTGATGTGCACTGACCACCAGGGGTCAGACACTCTGACTGGTAGGTTAGCTTGCTGCTGGGGTCTGGCCGATTGGGACTGATGGGCCAGACATGCCCTGGAGCCCTCCTACAGTCCCTCCCTTGCCCTGATCGTGCACCAGTGAAGTCCCTCGGCTTGGCCTGTGCCCTCTCGCAATCCGGGACCACTTGGGGGATGTCGGAGAGCCGGTTTCAGCCTGATCCCGCAGGCCAGGCCGAGGGACCCTACTGGTGCAAGAATTTGTGCACCGGCCCTCTAGTATGCAGTATATATGTTTATTAGAAGCAGCACTTTTAAATCACATTTTAACTTTAGTGTGTTCAAGCTGTCACAAGTGATTTAAAAAATATGTATTTACAACTATAATTTATTATTTGAAGCATGTATTTATAATGGAGGTATAGGGTTTGTATAGTTAATTTATAATCACTTTTCTGGTATTTTTCAAGTTAATATTTATATTTTTCCCCTTGAGCTTATATCCTTTCCTTCTAGTAAAAGATTAGGAAACATTAACTTGTTTCAGCTTTTTATTTTATAAATGATATTTCTTGGGAGGGGAAAGGAGATAGAAAGATAGACTAACATTGTTTATTAACTTATTAGAAAAATTACCTTATAAAAAGAAAGGGAAATGTAGGTGAATGAAATTTTGTCACCAATACATTTTAATAAAATTACATTTTATACTTTATGCCATATGTAATTTCATTAAAAGTATTATTCGAGCTTATATTGCAAAAGCATACTGATGGAGGTGGTAATTTAAAACATTGGAGATGTGAAGGATCTTTTGAAAGACTGTTTTGATAATAGATGAAATAATAACAGAACAGAAATTAGAAGAATTTCAAGTATTTTTGAAAAGGTTCTTGACCCCTTTCTACTGCTTCTTGAAAAATTGTCCATAAATTAATGCCTGTGTACCCATCCTGTCATATTTCCACTTAGTGTAAAGATTGCTGGGCCAGTGTATTGAATCTAATGGAAATAGACTTTCTTGTCACCTGTCTTTTGTGACACATAGCCTTAGTGAAGATTACTTGTCACAGTTGGGCTGATAAATGTGTTTGCTGGTATTGTGACTAAGAATCAGCCTGTTAAACAATGGCTGTGGGAATTCGTGGTTTTCTAAGACTCAATTACTGAACTAAAGTAAAGTCACAGTACTTCCCCTCCTTCAGTCTCCTGATTTGGTTGCACATATCTAAAATTGAAATTATAGGAGCATTTGGAAATTGACAGGAAAATTTGATGTTGGGTATACAATTGTCAGAAAATGAATTTTGACTTTAATTAGTTTAGTCTTTTCCAGTTCTTATGCAGTGACATTTTATTATCCTAAATTACCTTTCTTGCCCGAATTGGATCAAAATTTTTCAAAAAATGATAATACCAACAAAATAAGACAGCTTTATTTCTTAAGAACTGATGGACTGATTCTCATTATTCAGGTTTGCATTGTGTTGAGTAGCTATCCCTCTGAGAAGCCATGCTGCTGAGTCTCTAGCTGTGTATAAATCTGAGTAACATTAACCCCACGCTTATAATTCTACTTCTGAGTGAAACTCAATTGTGGTTATTTGAAGTTGCCAACATCTAGTTAGTAGTTTTTGCAAGTGATGAAACTTATCCATTGTATTGTATTTTAGTTAGCTCTGTGATTTCTTATTCTAAGTTTGACAATTTGAACATATTATTTTTCACCTCCTGTCATTGTAAACAGTTTTAGAAAAAAAGACAAAAACCATCTGCTGATTTCCAGACTTCATATCTCTAAAAAAAACTATATTACAAATTTGTATTGTTATATTTTATTTTTCTTGAAATATTTTATCAGCAACAAAAGGTAAAAATATATTTTAAAATGTAGTTGAAAAAAAAATAAAATGTAGTTGAAAGAAGATTAATTTTTGAAAGGAAGGAAGGATGTTCATTAAATAGAATTAAAGTACATTGGAGTGTACATTAACATGTATTGTTTTTTACCATTTGGTTACATTTTATTTACCTTCTTATTTTGGAAATTTATTACATTGTAATCCAGGATGGTGATGAGTCATCTCCAATTTTAACAAGCTTTGAGATAGTGAAAGTTCCTGACCCTCAGATGTCTATGGTGAGTTATTATCCAATTTCTTATGAAAATGCTCCAATCCAGAGTGATTGTGACTTAGATCGACATCATACACTTCTTTTTAAAAAGTATATAAGTACCTCAGTTACCTAAAAGTGATTTATAAATCCACTTCAGCTATGTGGAATCAAGTTCAGATGGGATTTTTATCAGAAACTTTAACACATAAAAATAAGGTCAGGATAGTGTAGTGTTGGGGAGCCATGTTATTTAGATTATGAAGAGCCAGGCATGTAGTCATGCAGTGAGGACTTAGGGGAACAGGTACAGGCACACCTTGAAGGTACTGCACGGTTGGGTCCAGGTTACCACAGTTAACCATTTGTATGCCATAAGTGTCTATAGACACAAGCGATGGACCTTTTTTATTTATTTATTCATTTTTAAATATATTTTTATTGATCTCAGAGAGGAAGGAAGAGGGAGAGATAGAGAATCATTGATTGGCTGCCTCCTGCACGCCTCCCACTGGGGACCTTCAGTCCGCAGGTCGACGCTCTATTCACCTGTCCTAACCAAACTGTCTAGGACGAGGTGGACCTTTTTTAATTAAATTCAAAATATCGTGGCAGTTAACTGGTTAAGTGGATATCCCAATAAAGTAAGTCACAGGAGTTTTTTGGTTCCCCGATCTCTGCTAGCTTTAAACATTTCTTCTGCAGCTTTCTCACTTCTTCCAGCCTTCATAGAATTGAAGAGAGTTAGTGGGGTCTTGCTCTGGATTAGACTTTGGTTTAAGGGAATGTTGTGGCTGGTTTGATCTGTCCAGACCACTAAAACTCTTCATATCAGCAATAAAGCTGTTTTCACTTTCTTGCCATTTGTGTGTTCACTGTTGACCCTTTTAATATTTTTTAAGAACTTTTTATTTGAATTCACAACTTAGCTAATTGGTGCAAGATGCTTAGCTTTTGGTCCATTTTAGCTTTCGGCATGCCTTCCTCACTAAGCGTAAGCATTTCTAGCTTTTGATTTAAAGTGAGAGAAGCCATTGTAGGGTTACTAATTGACCTGATTTCAATATTTTGTGTCGGAATAGGGAGACCTGAGGAAAGAGAGAGAGATAGGGAACAGCTGGTCCGTGGAGCAGTCAGAACACATACAACATTTATCAATTAAGTTTGCTGTCTTATATGGTGAGTTTTTAGCATCCCAAAACAATTTTAATAGTAGCATCAGAAATCACTGATCACAAATATAATAAAAATGAGAAAATGTGAAATATTGCAAGAATTACCAAATATAACACAGAGATACAAAGTGGGCAAAAGCCATTGGAAAATGGTGCTTATGGACTAGTTTGATTCAGGGTTGCTACAAACCTTCAATTTGTAAAGAAACAAACAACACACACACACACACAAAAAAAAAACAACAACAATGCTGCAATATCTGTGAAGTTCAATAAAGCGAAGCGTAATAGAACAAGGCATGCCTGTATTTGAAACAATTCCCCGTCATCTAGAAGGGGAATTGGTTTATACCAGGATGTAAAAGCATCAATGATGGAAATTTTTAGGGAGACGGGGTTGGTTGCAAAATATGGAGGATCATTGTAGTTATTAGAACTATTCAATTTGAATCATGATGTCTTGGATGATTTTGAGACACCTCCTTACTGCATTTTTGAAATCTCTCTTTCATGAATACAAAGAGTAAATTCCTCTTTTGCAGCAGAACTTTAATTAGAAGACCTTATATTTAGAAAGTTCCAGCCAAAAAAATCCTTTTAACAGCATAATAGATATCATGATAGTCATACTTAAAATGCATCTACTTCACTTTGAACCATTTTATTCTTATTTTATGAGTTTCTAATTAGATTAGTTACCTTCCTAATCAGACTAAAGCAGATTAAAGGTAGCACATTGGAAAATGAAAACATGAAGTAAATATAGGTCATTGAATCAGGAAGTAGTAGCTGATGACCTAGCATCAGAGGAAGAGATAGGGTAAAAAGAATATAAAAGATTAGAAAAGAAAGGTCACTTGGGAATCTTTTAGAAACAAACACCCTAAATACCTTCACAGAGCCTATGCATAGCATAATAAAATTGAGTCAATATATCTACATTTGACCCTGAGTTTTCATTATAAAATCAAATTATATTTCACATTCTGAATATTTGAAGCACACAAATAAATGTACTCTGTGGGTACCTTCAAAATGGCCAAGAGTAAACAAGTTTTGTCATATTGGGATCATAGGTATTACTTTCGTGTAACTCCTACCAAAATGTCAGGTCAATGAGATGTCTGTATATTTAGAGCGTTCTTTTCTAAAGAAAATGCTCATCAGCAGTTATAGCTTTAATATTATGGATGATGTATTTTTTTAAAAAAGGAACTAGGGCCCCTGTTAAAAAATGTTACTTTTAAATGAAGCAAACACAAAAGAAAAGTTAAAAAAGCAAGCTACTCTTCTCACCCACTGTGCTCAAAAACTCAGTTCAGCATTGCTTACTAGAGAAATATATTTTAATAAAGTAACTTTGAGTGCCACTTAGCTGGCATACCAGGTATCAGACAATAAAACAGACTATAAAACTACAATTACAAGTGGGATACTATCACATATATATATGCACAGATAGACTGGTGGAACTGAATACACAAATAGATTCAAGAAAATATGGAAATTAGTACATGATAAAAGTGGCATGTCATCACTGAAGCATAGTGCTGGGGAACTGATTAGCCATTTTGAAAATATTAAATTAAACCCATTCCTCCCACAGATCATAAGGAAAAACTCCAAATGAATCAGGGATTTAAATGTTAAAAAATGAAACTTTACTGGTACTTTACTCTCAGTGTAGGGAAAAACTTTGTAATGATGACTCAAAACCCAGAGGCAGGAAAAGAAATGATTGATAAATTTGACTATATTAAAAAATTGACTGCATGGCAAAAACACCAAAACAAAGACAATTGATAAATTAGAAGAAACTGTGACATACATCTCAGACAAAGGGGCAGATATCTAATACATAAAGAAGTCTTAAATACTGGAGAACAAAGGACCAAAAGCCCATTGAAAATTAGGAAAAGGACGTGAATAGACAATTTACACGTGCCAAAATAAATGCAATAAAAAGTCTCTTTAGCCAAGACAGTGTTTTAAAACATGATTTTGGCCCTGGCGGGTGTAGTTTAGTGGTTAGAGTGTTGGCCCGCACACCGAAGGGTCTTGGGTTCAATTCCTGGTCAAAGGCATATACCTGGATTGCAGGTTCGTTCCTGACCCCAGTTGGGGCCCGGGCATGTGTGCGGGACAACCAATCAATGTGTCTCTTCTCACATTGATGTTTCTTTCTCTCTGTCTTCCTTTTCCTCCTTCCCTTCCACTCTCTCTAAAAATCAATGGAAAAAAATATCCTCAAGGTTAGGATTAACCAAAAACTTTTAAAAATAAAATAAAACATGATTTTGACCATAAGTAAAATAGTTAACACCAAATATGTACAATTAATTATTATGGTCACTGTCTCTGCCCTCAAGCTACTATTGGAATTAAAACTGCTAAGGTGATAGTACTACAGGGTATCACAAGGTATTAGTAGCTCATAGGAAGAGGGGAAGCTTTAGTCTGGGTTGTCAGGGAAGATCTTAGAGAGAGGTGGTATTGAATGACGAGAGAACATAAAAACCTTGAATACCTGGAGAATGGGGATAGATGTTTTAAGAAGCTGGAACGCCATGTGCATGCCTGTTAGGGCACTAGTGAAGCATAAGGCATGCTTAGTTTTATTATCTCAAAATGGTGATATATTTTTAAACACATAGGAGACTCAAGTTGTAACCAAAATAAAATAGTATTATAAAATGGTCTTAAGTAACTATTAACTTTTCTATTTCTAACTGGTATTGAAACTCCCTTTTGGTGAAGTTTACATCATTGATAAATATTTTAAATAATTAATAGGAGAACTTGGTTGAGAGCAAACACCACAAGCTTGCCCGGAGTTTAAGAAGCGGACCTTCTGACCATGATCTCAAGCCTAATGCTACCACAAGAGACCAACTAAATGTAAGAATTTATAAAATATTAAAATAAAAATAATTACATGGGTATGTTGGTTATAATTGATGTGATACCACTTCACTTATGAAGGTTAATGAACCCAAAGTTATTTCAAATTTTGGTAGTTTTATTATTATTTGGGGGCTTTCAGTAAATATATCCGTCCTGGAGATAGAGCTACAAATAGCATATACTTTCACACAATAGCACTCTTACAGCTGGCGCTATGGCCCTAAGCTGCATTGCCCAAGAGAGGCCTTGGTGTGCACACATGCATGGTAGTGCATGGTGACTGGATAAGAGAAAGATTTGTTTGGATTTTTCCCATTTAAGGGGGAGTCTTTAGTTATTTTGTTTGGTTTGGTTTGGTTTAATTAAATTAGGTCTGTCGTTATATACTTTATATGAAGTATGACTTTTTCATCTTATCTTTTTCTCCCCTTTAGTAATATCCTTTTTGGACTGATAAGGACAGTAAATTTAAGTCTTACTTGGCTGCATGCACATTCTCTATGCTTCCACAGTAGTTCTATAATAGAAATATTTTAAGTAAATGAAAATTTTTAAATGGGAATATATAGAGGAAGAATATATTTGATAAAAGTAGTTCTTTTTTTCTTTGTTGTAGATTATTGTGAGTTATCCACCAACCAAGCAACTCACATATGAAGAACAAGATCTTGTTTGGAAATTTAGATGTTATCTTACTAACCAAGAAAAAGTAAGTTTCTTGAATGTTTTCATATATCAAATGTATCTACAATGTTTGTTGCTTATGAATGAGGTGAGGCATAACTGCCATAGAAATAAAGAGTTCTTGTCAAATTTATTAAAAAGTTGCAGAACAATATACTAGTATGTGATAATCCATTTTTAAAAAAATGTAGAGGTAGACACACAAAGACACATGTACCCATTTGTTGATGCATTGATAGCGACTGAATGGGTTGGGTCAGAGGCATGAGTTTTGTTTCTGGTGCTGCAACTTATTATTAGTAGGTAAGATGAGGCAAATTGCTTTGGAAGCTTGGTTTCCTCATTTTTCAATGATGAAATGTTCCTTAGCAGGTCAAATATTGCAGGTGAATAACCTGTCCAAGTACCTGGTGAATAGTAGGTGCAGAGTACATGTTGATTTGCCTCTTTTCTTCTCACTTCTTTGAGCCTGGGTTGGCTAGCAAAATATTTACATCACTAAAGGAACTGTAGAATTCTGGAGGACATATGGCTAGAGAGAGTATGAGAAATGTAATTTGAAATGTGTAAATTGAGTTGGTAGAGTGACAACCAGCTTGGAGTGCAGGATAGAGGCTCGGTCAGAACTAGACATTTGCTTTTCATAATGAAGCCATAGACCAGATAAAGTCTCTGGGGAGAGGAAATTATGATGAAGTCAGCACTAGACCTGCATCTGCAGACTTGGTTTTGACTCTCAGTGTTGCCACTAATAAGCTTTTTACTGCAGGCAGATTATTTTACCTACCTAAACATTAATTTCCTCAGATATAATATGATTGATTAAATGACAGTGAACTTTAAGTCTCTTCCAGTTCTTAAAATAGTCTGCAAATTCTTAGAACATTGATTCAATAACTCTTAAAATATGATAATAGTAGCCAGTATCTATTAAACAGCCTTTTATGCCAAAGATCTTTTATGCCCCATAAAAACCCCACAATTTAGGTATTAGTGTTAATGATAATATGTTTTTATTGATTTCAGAGAGGCAGGGAGAGAGAAAGAGAGGGATAGAAACGTCAGTGATGAGAGAGAATCATCTATCAGCTGCCTCCTGCATGCCCCCTACTGGGGGATCAAGTCTGCAACCTGGGCATGTGCCCTGACCAGGAATCAAACTGTGACCTCTTGGTTCAGGTTTCAATGCTCAAACACTGAGCCTCACCAGCTGGGCCAATTTAGGTATTATTGTCACTATTCTACAGGTGAGGAAACTTGAGTCTTAGATTAAGGAACCTGTGCAACACAAAGATTTTCAATGCCGCTCCTTGATGTGCTCACATTTATGAGTTAGAATAGAAAGTCATCAGTGAAGACAAAATAGAGGGTTATAGAGATCCTCTCTAGTTCCAGCATCATGCACATGCCTCAGCAGAAATTATGAAATGCATTGGGGGCAGAATAGAGAAACAAAAGGAAAAGTAATATTGGTCAGAAAACTGTTCTAAAGTTCTGTGAGAATGAATAAATCCTCCTATATAATAAAAGGCTAATATGCAAATTGTCCCCTTGGGAGTTCGACCGGGAATTCGATTGCTCGCTATGACGTATGCTGACCACCAGGGGGCGGCATGGAACATGGCGGGCGACCAGCTACAGTGGCAGGGCGCTGAGGGAGCAAGGGAAGGGGGAGGCCGGGAGGCAGGGAACCTGATCAGCCCTGATCGCCAGCCAGGCCTAAGGACCTACTTGTGCACGAGTTTCATGCACCAGGTCTCTAGTATATTTTATAATCTCATGAGATGGTCCTTACCTGCTTTAACTTGTTTTTCTGAAGCAATTGTATTTTCTTGATTTCAAAATAAAGATAAAAATCCAGCTGCAACTCATCTTAACTCTTCAGCTTTGAATCTTTATCTTTTATTGAGGCCTTTGGAAATTCTTTGTAGTTGAGCATCTTCATTCTCCTTATATCCATAACAAGAATGAGAGAAGAATTTTAAAATTTACTCTAGCTTTGAGTGTTATTCTCTTCATCACCACAAGAAAGGAAATATTCCTCAATAGAATCACAGATTTCTTATTTTGTGTTTAAAAAAAAAATTGAGTTAGGATATGATACTCTGTTAAATGAAGAATAATGTTGGTCACAGAAATTGTATTTTGAATGCAGCACAGTGTTGTGTAAAATACACAGCAAGATATTGAATTAAACTGTTAGAATGTATAGGCTCAAGAAGCATAGAATAGATTTACAGAGCAAAACTGCTTCAGATAGAAAGGCTTGCAAGAAAAATTGTTTGTTTAAAAAGTAGTCACTTCCCACTGAAATTCAATTACTTCTAGATAGGTGCAAAGGAAATAAAATGCTCAAGTGATATAAAGTGTATGACAAGTTTCATTTAACCAGTTGATTTTAAGTTTTCGAAGTGTGGGTGATGAAACTTCAATTCTCAGGACGTATTATAGGATTCTTATGATCACTAGGCCGAGTGGATGATATTTTCCAATGTTTGGGAAGCACTTTTCAATATATTGGCCTTGAAGTGACCAGAGAACATATTCACACAGACACATTTGTATCTTTGTAATCATTTAAAATGGGTTTTGTAGGAAACAGATACTCCTGTACCCTTGTCCCTTAATTTATCTACAAAAAGAAGGTCAATTTCCCAGGAAGAGTGCGTTAGATTATTTGGCATTTGGTTCCTGAGGCTAAAAAGATTTTCTGGAGGAGATTTCAGTGCCCAGAAAACAAATTGGTGGAAATTTGTTCTTACAAAGTTATACTTATTTTTGTTGTTGTTAAATTTGGTCTTTCCACCTATTTTTGTCTATGTGACCGTCAGGGCTTGCTGGCACGCAGTCTTCATTACTGCCAATGAAAGCCGTCTAGCCTAGACTTGATGTTGCACTTAGAAAGTTTATAACAGCTTGTCCAACAAAACCAGTTAAATTTATGAAATATTTTAAAATCTGTGGTCCATAGCATTTAAGAAGTGATTCTTAATTGAATTTATTAGAAAAACAACTGTGATATTACAATATAACAAGGAATATATATTTGGTCTTTGGTTCCTGGCATAGTTTCTAAAACCCAGGAATTCCATAGTGGTAGTGATGAGAGGAAACATGTTTATAATGAGTTCTCTTCAACCACACCTGAGTTTATACCAGCGGTTCTCAACCTGTGGGTCGCAACCCCTTTGGGGGTCGAACGACCCTTTCACAAAGGTCGCCTAAGGCCATCGGAAAACACATATAATTACATATTGTTTTTGTGATTAATCACTATGCTTTAATTATGTTCAATTTGTAACAGTGAAATTGGGGGTCACCACAACATGAGGAACTGTATTAAAGGGTCGTGGCATTAGGAAGGTTGAGAACCACTCGTTTATGCTAATGAGGTGGCTCCTGGAAGCTGGGGCTGGTTGCCAGAGGAACCAACCTTGTGATTAGAGGGTTGGAACTTTCAACTCCGTCCCCTGATCTCTGGGAGAGGGCCTGGGGATTGAGAGGGGACAGTGATTTAATAAATCATCCCTATGTAATGGAACCTTCATAAGCACCTATAGTGATGGGATTCATAGAGCTTCTGGGTTGATGAACAGGAGAGTGGCACCTCAGACTATATGGGGACAGAAGCTCTTGTGCTTGGGACCCCTCTGGACCTTGCCCAATGTACCTCTTCATCTGGTTATTCATTTGTATCCTTTATAATATACCAACAGTAGTAAGTCAAGTATTTCTCTGAATTCTGTGAGCCAGTGTAGCAAATTATCAAACTGGAGGAATGTATTCAGAAATCTGGGCAACCTGGGGATCCAAAGTTTGGCATCTGAAATGGGAATTAATCATGTGAGACTGGCCCCAGGTGTTAATGTCAAAATTGAATTAAATTGTAGAATGCCTAGTTGGTTTCCTCTGAAAATTAGGGAGTTGAATGGTATAGAAAACTCACATGCTTGGTATCAGGAGTGTCTTGAGTAGAGGAATAGGTTTTCCTTTAGCAACCAAGTAGAAATTTCTAATAACTGAGTTGGTAGGAGTTAAAATTAGAAATATGTATGATAAGTATTGTATCTTACAGCTATAAAGTGATTGTGCTTATGATTGTAAGACTAGGCGGTACCAGTGAGGTGATTCTAAGATCAAAGGGAGTTTAACAAAAATATTTATTGCATCTTTTCACACAAAAAAATATTTATTGCTATTAATATAAAACATGGTAATAAGTGTGATAATGTTAACATTTGATGTTTGACTCAACATCAGAAATGGGTTAAAATATTGGATAATAAAATATTAACATTTATCAAGTATTTATTATGTATTAGCTATTGTCCTAAACATTTGTATTCAATAACTTAATTTTAACTACAACCTAATAATGAAAAAGGTCACTTAAAAGTTAAATAATGTGCTCCAAATGACTCCGTTAATAATTGATGGAGCCAAGAGTTGGGATTTGACCCCAAACACACTGGCTCTCAAGCTTGTGTGTGCACTCTAGGGATCACATTACGTTTGAATCCTGTACTTTTACAGAGATCAATAAAGCATCTTTAAGAATTTAAGATGGAGTATCATCATTATTATTGCTGTCTTCAGAGTCTTATGCTTTCTGTCTTTATCATTTCTCTTCTTGTTTCCTTCATTCTACTACCTCCTTGTTTATATTTGTAATATTTAACCCTATAAAGTTGTGGACATCTTTGTACAGTGCCTTATGTATCTTGGCAGTAGTGTACGCTATAAATCTTACTAATAAGTCTACAAATCTGAGAATGTGCGAGTTAGATTGTTTCAGTTATTGAATTGAATATAGGCATGCTGCAAGATTTGCTTATAATAAGCACATAGCCACATGTTTCTATTAAGATTGCTGATGTACGATGAAATGGAAAGCCTTTTGCTGTAGTTATTTAAGAAGCATTGCATTGTTTCCACATTCAACCTAGAAATATATTTTAGAAATGAAAAGTAATTGCATGGGTGATTCCTAGGGCAGTCCGTGTTCTTATTGGAAGGGGAAACATTGTACTAAACGGTGTGCAGGAGGTGCAGGAGAAATAGATAGCTATCCTTGGGGAATGCAGACTCCAGTTGTAGAATTAAGAAAGCCCTCAAAAGTATTTGGCAGTTAGAAGAGCATCATTTAAATGAAAGTACTAGGATTAAGGCAGCTACTGAAGGAAGAGCTGAAAGTTGCCAAAAACTTCCTGGAAAAGTTGAATTTTTGACAGGTAAGCACCTTTTTTTAAAGAGCATCTATTATGTATGCAACCATGAGTGACATGCTCCAAGGTAATTTACTTACCTGACAGTCTGGTGAAAACTTCAGTATGCTACCAATCTAAAGTAGTGAGGTTTCAGAAAGCTACTAAAACAGTTAGCTGAATCATAGAATATTTGCTACTGCTTCTGTGTTTATCTATTTTTATACTTGTTTCTGTGGAGTTTTTATTTGTCTGTTTCTATGAAGAGAGACATAACAATCATTTATTTGAGTCCTTATGTATGTGAGTATCTAAGAAACTCAATGATTCTAGAGAAATGTTCAAGGTGAGTTAGTGGTGAGGAGTCTACCCTGCTTTGCTTTCAGAATTTCTCATTCATTATCTGTTTTATGTCACATGTAAATGTTGTAAAATGGTCAGCTCGTCTCAGAAGCATTTGAGAGTTCATGAGATGTGCCTCAACTTTGTCTTGAGGCCTGTAGTGTTTTAAAATACCAAAGCATGCCCGGCTGGTGTGGCTCCGTGCTTGAGCATTGACCCAGGAACAAAAAGGTCTCCAGTCCAATTCCCGGTCAGGGCATATGCCTGGGTTGTTTGCTCAATCCCCAGTCGGGGGCTGTGCAGGAGGCAGCCAATGAATGACTTCCTCTCTATCATTCTCCCTTCCTCTCTCTCTAAAAATCAATTATATATATATATCTATATACACACACACACACACACACACACACACACACACACACGTTTAAAAATAAATAAAATAACATAGTGAAGAAAAGTCAAAGAAAACTGAAAAAATTCATTGTGCTCTGAAAGTAGTTTGATCTGTGGAGTTACAGGGAACATGCTTTTGTATTTTCCTGCCCTGCATTGTTTCTAGGGTTGAATCTATGACTATAGTGTTCACAGAAGGAGTCTATCACTGACTCTGCCACTCTTTCATCAGGACCAAGGGGAACCTGCTTCATAACCCTTGACCTTCCCTGCCCCAGGTCATAGGCTGTTGTTTCTAATTTAAACATCTTTTCTGATTTTAGGCTTTGACAAAATTCTTGAAATGTGTTAATTGGGATCTACCTCAGGAGGCCAAACAGGCACTGGAACTGCTGGGGAAATGGAAGCCCATGGACGTGGAGGATTCCCTGGAGCTACTGTCCTCCCATTACACCAACCCCACAGTGAGGCGCTATGCTGTGGCCCGGCTGCGCCAGGCAGATGATGAGGTACATCAGTATTCATTATTCCTCTTTGGGTACATGTTAAACTAGAGCCTGATCATAGGCTGAGTGTGTGTGTGTGTGTGTGTGTGTGTGTGTTAGAGAGAGGAGGGGTAAGGAGATTTTTTCAGGGGAGAAGAGGATATACTGGGTATGTTTTCAGAAGTAAAATTAAAATATTCCTCCAGGGACTCCTCTGTGAAATGAAAATTTACTTCCTGATCTGTTTCATGATAGGACAATCTCTCCCAGGACACTCACCTGGCAGCAGAGCTTGCTTTGCTCTGTCTGGAAAGAGGAATTCTAATGAAAAATGGTTTAATGCAGCACCAGCTAGGGAATAATTCAGATCCCCTCTATTAGTCAGTATACAACAAGCCCCATTTAATTGTAGCCTTGCAAAGCCCTTGGGGCCTCTAAAACAGAGGTGCATGGTCATCTTATTCTCCTTCAAACTCCTTTAAACTTTCCACTGCTGACAGTTGTGTGTATGTGTAGACTTTCTGAAGGTGGTTTTGAATCCTCTGGAAAGCAAAGCCTGCAAACTTGATGCTGGCTGTTTTTATATCTCAGGCCCCGAGGGAAGGAGGAACAGTCTGTGTTGACACAAAGAGTTGCTGCATCTTGAATTTTAATAATTCCTAATAAGGTAGACTAATCCAGCAATATTTTTTACTTATGAATTTTTATAGGGTGAATGTGCTCTCAAATATAACCTAATAGTCTATGCCAGCCTGCAGTACTTATGCTCAAACCTCAGTATGTATCTAGGAATGCTGATCCCATAGAACTTTATCAAAGATCTTTATTAAACACAATTAAATCATTTTGAATTTATAGTGGTATATGAATTTCAAGAAGCAAAGCTCAGCCTTTATTAAGGTTGATATTTGTATGTGTGTATTTAATTATTGTAAAGTTTAAACACTAAAGTAAATAGTATTGTAAGTGCTTGCATTTAAAGTACACATCTTTAACAATTACCAACTCATAGCCAATCTTATTTCATCTATAACACCTCTTACTCTCTCCTCCCTGTTCCCTCCCATTCATTGGCTTCCCTGAGGAAAATCTCAGATATTGTATAATTTTATCAGGACAGGATGTTATTCACTCTCCTATTAAAGAGCAGTTCTTAGCATTGTGATTTGGCATATTATCTTCTCCTTCCTAATTGTCTTTACTGTATTGCAAGTAAAAAAATTATTACATATTTATTTGAAATATCAAAATACTTATTTTTAAATTCATTAGAAACTTCACTCAAGTCATTAATTCTTTATATTTGACATGAGTCATAAAGTTTAGATAAAGGCCTCTATGGTATAGTCAACACAATCCCTCAGTGTGAGTTCATATCTAAATAAAAAAGTTGTAAATAATTATTTCTGATTGTCTGGCTTTTGTTTTCTCAAACTTAGAGGCTAAGTGTTTGTGTCTAGAGTTATCAGTGTTCATGTAGATACTGAACTCTTTCTAGACCATTTATAATTTTTGTTATGAGGTGTAGAGAATAATAGAAACATTACATGCATTCTAAACTACTAAGTGTGGTTCAACGATTAATTTTTAGGGTTTTTTTGTTTTGTTTTTTTTGAAATTTCAAAAATATAGCATAAATACTATAGTGGTTAAGTTAGCTCATGATTTCCCTTTCTCTGACCCTTACTTCAGTACTGAATTATGTATACTCAGCTAAAAAAACTATTGATTCATTAGATGTATATTAAGATCTGAATTTTGTCTTTTCTCTGACTCTATAGGCCTATATATATATATGTGTGTGTGTCTTTGGAAACACTACATACTGTATTATTCTCACCTCATTTTCCTTTCTATCAAGTGATAATAGTTGCTTATGTCACTTGATAGTTATGAGAAAAAATTATGTGAGGCAAAGTTTGTTTGTTTTTGGTGTTTGCTTTGCTTTTTGGATACTACTTTAAACAAGGAATTTACTGGCCACTTACTCTGTGCCAGGCACTAGTCTGTGACTTTCTTCTATTAATTGATTTAATCCTCATACCTCATTCCTAAGGCTTGTATGATCTGTCCATCTATAGATGAAGACCCAGTGAAACACCACAAGATTAGGTATCCTAGTGATCTGACAAAGGAAACACAGCTGATAAGTGGTAGAGAAAGTGAATTGTTAGCATAATATTTAGGAATAAGTTATGTCTATAACCATATTGCATTTGTTTTTTTAATATTATCTCATTTCTTTATTTTCCAGGATTTATTGATGTACCTATTACAACTGGTCCAAGCTCTCAAATATGAAAATTTTGACGATATAAAGAATGGATTAGAACCTACCAAGAAGGATGGTCAGGGTTCAGTGTCAGAGAGTACATCAAGTTCTGGAATAAATTCTGCAGAAATAGATAGGTATGGATATCCAGGGAGGACTGGTTTTCACATCGGAGAGTTTCCCTCCTTTCTAACTGTCTTCTTTCCATTTTCCCTACATGTACAAAATCCTAGTTGGTACTAAGTTTGAAGTTTTAGCAATGAATATGGCATGTGCACTCACAGTTTTTGCAGGCTATGGAGTCAAACTACCTAAGTTAAAATCTTGACTCTGTCACTTACTAGCTGTGTACATTGTGTAAGTTGCATATTCTCTGTGGCCCCCGTTTCTCATCTTAAAAGCAGGGAGGATAGCAATAGTAACTGATCTTTAAGGGTTGTTGAAACATTGGATGAGTTAATACACATAAAGCATTTAGAAAAGTGTCTGACACATAATGTTCAGTAAGTGTTAGATACTATTTACTGTTAAAGTAAATGAAGGACGGCATGTTAGTGAATTCAAATATTTTATTGTAAAATTGTATATTTTACTAGTTATACTAAATAAAGAGCATGTTACTTTAATTAAAATCAGCTAGTAACAATAATAACAATTAAGAACTCTCACCTCTGTAGCAGACACTGTGAGGTAGTCTATATACATTGCTTTTTTACAGTAATCTACTGAGGCAGATGCTCATATCCAGAATTTAGATATCAGTGACTTACTAGAAGTTAAGTAAATTGCCCAAAGCTCATAACTTGCAAATGGTAGTGTTGACTCCAGAGTCCATGTTCTTTTTACTTTGCCATTATGTTTTTCATCAAATCTTAAAATTTGCAATAAATAGGAACCTTTGGGCAAGAACTTTGAGGCCCAGTGATAATAAGCTATTTTGTAAAGTCTTGAGAATGAGTTCTGGAAATCAGATTACCTGAATCAGTCCAGATATTTCAATTGTCACATGGGCTCAAGATTATATTTCTGAAATTTTTTATGATTATGTTAATACTGTTTTTATCTTCTGTTTTTATCTTCTGTGTTTCATTTGGAGAAGAACTGAAAAACAGAGATAATTTTTGTTTTTGTTTGTAAGAGAAGATACCCCTTACATTTTATCCCAGTATACATTGGAAGCCTTCTATCTCTAGTCATGCTACCTTCCTCCTTACTTATGCCACCTAAAATGTTTTCTTAGGGTCTGCTTAAGATTTTATGGCAGGATATACACTGTAACCCAGTATTTCCCAAATCATGGTCTGCTGGTCACTAATTTGTGTATTTTTAAAAAGATATTAAGTTGTTAGGGGTGGTTTTGTGACCAAATATGTTTGAGAAATGTTGGAATGCTTGTTTAAAGTAAAATGGGCTTTTTTTTTTAACAATAGTATTTAGCAATATGCAGACTTGCACATCTCCAAGCAGCTACTATCTATATTCATTGACCACAAGGCCTCTTTCCCAAAGCATACTGTGACTCTGGTGTTGCACAGAACACACCTTAGGAAGCGACACATTATCCGGACACAATCGAGATGAATATGCTAAAGAAACAAAACAAAATGTATCTGCTGTTCCAAACAGAATATGTTACATATCAGTGATATCTCCTATTATTTTTTCAGCTCCCAAATTATAACCAGTCCTGTTCCTCCAGTGTCTTCCCCTCCCCCTGCATCTAAAACGAAAGAAGGTTCAGATGGTGAAAATTTGGAGGTGAGTGCAGAGCTTCTCAAGTTTGCTATAGGAGAGATCCTACCAGATAAACACTGTAGAGTGGTTTTCATTTTTTAAATTTTTATTTATTGATTGATTTTAATCCTCACCTGAGGATATGTTTTTCATTGATAGTAGAGAGAGAGGAAAGGAGAGGAAAAAGGGGAAGGAGGGACAGGGAAACATCCATGTGCGAGAGAAATGTCGATCAGTTGCCTCATACCCGTGCCCCAACTGGCGATCGAACCTACAACCTGAGTATGTGCCCTGACCAGGAAACAAACCTGAGACCCTTCAATGCATGGGATGATGTTCTAACCACTTATCCACACCAGCCAGGGCCTAGAATGGTTTTTGAAACATGGATTTTTTTTTTTTTTTAAGCACCTGAGTATTTTTTTCCATTGATTTTTAGAGGGTGGGGGGAGAGAGAGAAAGAGAGAGAGAGAGAGAGAGAGAGAGACATCAGTTGCCTCCTGCCATTGGGTCTCAGGATGGAACCTGGAACCCAGGTAAGTGCCCTTGACTGCAAATTGAACCTGAGACCCTTCAGTCTGCAGGCCAACACTAACCACAGAGAAACACCAGCCAGGGCCTATTGTGGCTTTTAAAACATTGATTTTGATTAATAAACCAAATATTACAACTTTATTGAATAACCTGTTTTATGATGCATGTTTATGACTTTTCCTCTCAGCAAAAAGCACCAGATGATCTTCAATTCGAGGCTTTTTATTGGTGCTTTGGGCATATGAATAGATTCATATGCAATGTAAAAATAAACTGGCTTCAGTATTTTATTAAAGAAACTCAATATTTATTGCTAACATATTTATGAACATTACTGTAATTTTTGGTGTTTGTGATTACACTGTAGAAATGTGTGGCTTTGATACTAAGGTTGATACACTACAAAGCTGTTTTTTAACTCATAGAAAAATTAAATCTTTTTAGATAAGTAGACTGACTTTTGAGGTAAAACAGGCCTCTTTGGCTGGTGCTACTCTGAAAAGTGTATTCGGAAGTGCATTTGCAGAAGCACTAGTATGTATTGTTAAATTTCTCCCTAAGACTTCTAATTTGAGAAGAATCTTTGACACCCCTGATGTTTAAAACAAATATGTGTTTAGATATCAAACAGTTAATAGCAGTTGGTAATATATATATATATATATATATATATATATATATATATATATACACACACATATATACACACATTTCTTTTCATTCTTTCAGCAAGATCTCTGCACCTTTTTGATATCAAGAGCCTGCAAAAACTCAACACTGGCTAATTACTTATACTGGTATGTGAAAATAATTTTCTGTTTATTTTCTGTAGGCCCCTTCCCTCCCAATATCATAAACATTAAGTCAGTTTAAAATAATGTGTGAGCAACCATCAAAAGCCTAAGTATGGTATTTATATCTAGCTGTATTCCTTTACAACTGTGCTCGTGAATGCTTGTTAGCACCACCATTTCTCTTCTTTTCACTAACTTTCCAGTATCTAAGATCAGGTTAAGGTAATGAGTGTGTTTTTTTGTTTTGTTTTTTTTCAGTTTGATGTCTGCTTGCCTTTTATGGCATCTAAGTTTAAGTATGATGCTTTATAGTCCCTTAGGAGTGTGTATTTTCACATTATTTACCAAAACATCAGAAGCATACAGAAATGGAAAGTGGGAATGTGAGGTTACTTATTTTATGGACGAGGAAACTGAGGCAAAGTCATCATGTAATTGAACTTGGTAGAACCTGAAGATTAGATCATTTACCTAGCACTTTGCCATTTACAAAGTATTTTCAGTGACCTTTTCTCATTTGTTCCTGTGAAGTTAAATAGGGCAAGTATTAAATACCTCTATTTTATGGTCTCTTGAGTTGAAGGAAAGGAAGAAACTAAGGCACAGGAAGACTAATTCACTTTTTGAGATATAATTAATATGAAGCATGATTCCCTTTATCTGTCACAAAACCCTACAGTGTAAAGGACAAGAAGACTAAGCCACAAAGAGAAATATTTTGGTTCAATAAAAAATAACACTAGGATTAAACACTAGACAAGGAGACCTTATCCAGTTTTGCAGAGCAAACAAAGGGAAGAGCCAGCTGGGTAAGCCCTGCCTGAAGCCTCTGGACATTGAGAGAACATTTAAAACTTCTCCACTTACTTGATATATTTTTAACTATAGAAATAATCTCTAATTTTTACTGCTCAATTTACTATGCTTACTTAAACAGTACGAATTAATAGATCTCCATTCTGAAAGTTCATTATTTTTTAAGAACAATGAGGCATTTTCCTTTCCATGATAGAATTAAACAAAAGACTGTCTTGTTTTTGACTGAGTTTAGAAAAACTGTCCAGTAGGTCAGATATACATTTTAATTGTTCTATTTCCTTTTGAACATTTTGAATTTCCTTTTTCATTTGTTCCCTTTCTAGTGATTTAAATGGGATTTCTGCTCTAGCTGAACCCTTAGGGGCCTATTGTTGTGCAGACAATCCTTTTAAAATGAATAGTGTCAACCTTTTAAGCCACAGAGAGAAGTTATAGTCTCCGATCTGTGAAATGTTGGGCATCAGGATCTATAAATCGTTTCAGAGTTTTATTTTTATAGCTATTCCAGTATGATGGAATTGAAAGTAAACTTTGGATGCTTTGACATGTTTTTCTCTAACTTTTAAGACTTTTCAAGGTAATAAAGGTTATTTACCCCACAAAACAAAATTGCCAGGAAACAGGTAGTCCACTGATGTCATCTTACAATGGGAAACGGGACAGTTTTGTCTGCCTTTCTACTTGAAGATGACAGATTTCAAGGGACTACCTTAGAGTGCTTTGTAAAATCTAGCTTACTGCTCTGAACAAAGAATTCAGAAATGATTCAAATCTACATTTTCTAGTCATGGTCTAAATCTACCCTTCATATTTGGAAATGGTACTGTTATTTTTATTTTATATGGACTGTTCTGTGCAGCAGAACTTTGGCTTAAATGATTTTGAGAGGTGTTTGATCCTTGACCTTTATATTGAGCACCAGTCTATACCCTCAATCACACGAAATCTCTGTGGCCATTGTGTTGACTTGGTGGTCTAGGAGAGCAAGGAGCCTGCAAGAGGTGGTCATCAGTATTGCTCATTTGTAAATGAGTTTGCTGCGTAAACACACAGGAAGCAGTTGTTAGGACATGCGAAGACTTCCTGAAAGAGATAGGGTGTTGCCCTCTGTTGGAAGGATGGGTAGACTATGGGAAGGTGGAGATGGGAAGGTGTTTGTGGACAGTACTGCAACATGACCAGAAGCACAACGGGGTAGTCAGGGGATTGACCTGACTGAAGTGTGAATGCATAAAATGGGCATAGTGCAAGTTTGCAAGTAAAAGCAGACCACATAATGAAATCAAAATTAATCCGTAGGTGTGTTAAAAGGAATGTATTTACCTATTTGAGAATTATTAACTTAGAAATAATGGTTAAATCCATGAGATAAGTCATTTATTCGTTCAACAATAATATATTGAATATTAGGTGCCAGGCATGGAAGTGCCAAGGGTAAGCTCTCGGCTCTCATGAAATTTACCTTCTACATGGCTGAATATACTCTTTCCCAGAAATAGAACAAGGAAATACGGTGGCTGTGACTTGAGATTTGTAAAACACTATTAGTTAACAAGGTTGAAAAGTTTCTTGTGGCTTCTCAAGATAAAACAATGTGGGAGTAAGCTGAGTAGAACAGGAAGAATTTTGACCAAGGAGTCCAATGTCCTGTGTTCCGATTTTAGCTCTACAGTCAGCTAATTGTACCACGGTGGAGCAGACAACCCCTCTAAATTTCGCTATTGATGAAACAAGCAAGTGGGTACAGATGCATGATTTTCATACTGTATATCATCTATAATCCATTGAAACTTTTGGTTTATGCATCTGTGTGCATAAATGTGGCCGTGTTTACAAAGTTGGGAACCCCTGTAAATTGGTGCAGCGACTACAGAAAACAGTGTGGAGGTTTCTTAGAAATTAAAACTTGAACTCTCATATGACCCAGCAATTCTGTACCTCAGAAAGTATAGGAAAAAATGCTCGTTTTTTTTTTTTTTGATCCCAAAATTTTTAGAAAATCTAGTATATTGTGCAAATTAGTTATTTATTTACCTTTTATAGATGGTTGTATATGTTGGCCTTTATATTTCCACTTTTAAAAGAGTGATGATAAAATACCTCATTACTTCCATTTTATTATTTTTGCAAATGTGATTTAATCTTTTAGTGGAAAGGCATAATTATTTACAAAATGAACCTGAGATTCATTTCACATCATCTGAATGACAACATATTTTTAAGGTATGTGATAGTGGAATGTGAAGATCAAGATACTCAGCAGAGAGACCCAAAGACCCATGAGATGTACTTGAATGTGATGAGACGATTCAGCCAAGCATTGTTGAAGGTAACCGTTTAACATAGGGTGACAAATCTGGACCAGATCTGGCCTGTTGCCTGTTTTGGTATGTCCCTTGAGCTGAGAATGGTTTTTATATTTTCAAATGGTTCAAAAGAGTCAAAAGAAGAATATTATTTGTTATGATATAGGAAAATTATGTGAAATTCAAATTCAGTGTTCTTAAGTGAAATGTTATTGGAACCTAGTCATGCTTTTTGTTTTCATACTCTTTATGGCCAGTTTTGCACTACCTTAGCAGTTGAATAGTTGGAATGGAAAGTGTATGCCCAGTGGGCCTAAAGAATTTATTCCTTGGCTCTTTACAGAAATTTTGTTGATCCCTGATTCAATGAAAAAACTTATACATGGAACCAAAAACCCCAACACTTTGCTTTTCCATTTCTACCTCTGTTTACTATTTTTATTTTCAAAACTAAGTATGTTCCAAAAAAGTTTGGCAGTGGTCATATTGCAGAAACTTTCCATATAACATATATTTTCCTTCTTAAACATTTTTTAGAGATGGTATGTAAATCCATTTTCCCTTGGTGTTTGTGACTCTTACAGCAGTGTCACAGTTCAGCCAGCAGTTGTACCAAGGTGAGGCAGACAACCCCCTAAATTTCGCTATTGATGAAACAAGCAAGTGGGTATAGATGCATGATTTTCATACTGTACATCATATATAATCCATTGAAATAAATTTAAAAACTCACAGCCTAGCATTGGTCATTTAAAGAGAAAATATGGTGCACAGCAATGAAAAGAAAGCACATCAATCTGTGATTTTCAGAAATACTCCTTTATCTTCTTTCATCTTATTAAATATTTAAATCACCTCTTATTTAACTCTTTGAGACTAAACTTTTATATAGTCCTCAGAGCTCAGTGTCTCTACATCAAACTGATTAGCAAATACCAAATAATTAATTAGCAAATTGGTGCTCTATTCTAATCTCAGTTCTATCACTTATGGCATTTGTCACTCTGTGAAGAAATCTCAGTTCCTCTGAGCTTACATCTTTTCATCTTCAAAATGAGGGTGATAATATTTTCCCAGCTGTCCTTACCAGTGTAATTGGAAAATTCACTGTATTTTTTAATATTTTATGAACTGGGAATCACTAAGACTTTATAGCATTTAGTTATTATAACTTTTATTTTACTAAGCCAGCATATAAAATGTTGCTATTTGATAACTTTACCCTTTATTTGGTAGATTTTTAGTTCTACCAGTATTGTTGCTACCATGTCCCCAGCACATTGCTAAAGACATCATAGGCATCCAGAAATTTATTGAATCAATGAGTGAAATCATTTTGTGTGAATGAATTCTATTTTGTTTCATGGTTGTATGTGAGGAAAAAAACGTGCTATTTTTGATTGACTAGTACTTGCTGAAGACTCACTTAATATTTCAACTGTGGAAAATCTGGTGTTGTTTAAGATCGCAGGTTTCTCATCTCTGACTCAAGATAATTAATCTTTTTCAATTACACTGTGCATTGAAGTTTGCAGCTATTAGAAGAATAAATAAAGATCGCCCATGCTATTAAAGAAACCCTGATCATTATGCTGCATAGAACTAATTTTCCTTCCCGTTGAATACCTTCAGGGTGACAAGTCTGTCAGAGTTATGCGCTCCTTGCTGGCTGCACAGCAGACGTTTGTAGATCGGCTGGTGCATCTAATGAAGGCAGTGCAGCGTGAAAGCGGAAATCGTAAGAAAAAGGTAAAACCTATGGGACTTGCTTTGTATTTATGACTAATAATATCTCGATGTCATAAAATTCTGAGTTTTGGTACTTTCTTTTGGGTTGATATGTTTTATGAAAAACTTACTTAATTTTAGTAATAGGAACACTTAAGCATACTGATTATGTATGGGATTCTATTTTATGAGTTTTATATATTGACTTAATCCTCACAACAACCCTATAAGTTATGTACTATTATTATTTTCCCAGCTGTAAGGAAAAGTAGGAATAGAGAGGTTAAGTTAATTTGTCCAGTGTCCTCAGCAAGGATTAGCATTGGGATGTGTACCCAAATTTTTTGAGTCTATATTTTACCTATAATGTTTTATTGGCTCTTATTTTAGAATCTTAGCATCCTAGAATATAACCCATTTGACATGGAAAGGGCCTCTAGAGATCATTTAGATTAGAATCCATCTGTGAAAGTGAAGGTCCAGAGTGGCTTAGCCAGGGTTGCAAAACAGTTGTTTCGGACAGCACTGGCTTTGACTCTGATGCATGGCCTGTGCATTGATCTTTCTCTCAACAGTGAGGCTTCTGCTTGATGAGGAAGTTGGGCATCTGTTCTTCATGCATCACTGTTTTCTAATCAACAGCCTACGTAATATGAAGGACTCACTTGATATCTTATCTTTACCTCAGGGGTGGGGAGCCTTCTTACTACCAAGGGCCATTTGGATATTTAAAACATCTTTTGTGGGCCATATAAAATTATCAACTTAAAAATTAGCCTGCTATGTTTGGTCATACATTTAATTAACTGACCCCTAATGCCTTGGTAGAGCCAGACCAAATGATTTCAAGGGCTTTTATACAGCCGTGGGCTGGGCATTCCCCACCCCTGCTTCACCTAATCCCATAGTAGGCAGGCCTTTCTACTATGTTAACAACACAATCCATGTTCCTGTTGTTCTCCAGGCTTGTGAGATGCAAGTGGAGAGAGGGAAAGGTGAAAAATTGAGTCAAGAGTTCAGAGACAGGGGATCAGGTCTAGAGAGAATTGCTAGCAGAGATCTGTGCATAGAATAATGTTCACAAAGTTAAGATGGAGAAAATAGGATAAAGAGGAAACACATTATATACACCATTTTAAGGACTTTAACTTAAACATTGAGTGAGAGTGGAAGCTATTGGAGGTTTGAACAGGAGAGTGACATGAGCCTTCTTTCTTGTCAGCAGCAGCACTCTAGTTGTTTTTAATAAGAGACTGTAAGAGGCAGAGGTTGAAGAAGAGGCGCAGCAGGAGGCTGCTGCAGGAATCAAAATGAGAAATGATGGTGGCTTGGACCCCAGGGCTTAGAGCAGTGGAGGTAGGAATAAGTGGCTGGATTTCTGGCCCTTCTTTTATTATCTGCTTCCGGTTATTTTACTGTTTACAAGCACACCAACTAGAAATTGCTTATGATGGTATAACTAGATATTCAAATTAGTTAACGTTACTTTATATTAGTACTAGAGGCCCGGTGCACGGATTCGTGCACTGGTGGGGGGCGTGGCCTGCAGGGATTGGCCCACTGTGGGAGCGCTGCTCATCCTGGTCAGCCTAGTGGCTGTGGACCCGCCCTCTGAGTGGCTGCTGAATGAGGCAATTAATGTGAGCTGATATTTCAGGGTAATGTCTTGGGTAAATGTGTGTTCTGTGTCCTGGAGGAACTTGGCAGAAAGCTTTCCACCCCAAAGTCACTCAGTGAATGTTCTTGATGTGTGATGCCAGGTCAGTGACACCATCGGGGATGTTAAGGGCAGCCGTACTCCAGGATCCTCAGTCATCAGGACAGCCTCCCTGGGGAGTCCACAGTCATGTCCCCTCTTGCCATCCGCCTATGCCAGCTCCCCGCACTCTTTCTAGAACACACCTTAGAGGGCCTGCATCAGCTGGTGGTGGGGTCAGGCCAGAGTCTGGATTGTCTCAGGTATTTGATAGGTGCAGAGACTCGGGCTCACCCTGGGCCTGCTAGCAGCTGCTCCCGCTGTGGAAGCACACTGATCACTAGGGGGCAGCTCCTGCATTGAGCGCCTGCCCCCTGATGGTCAGTGCGCGTCATAGTGACTGGTCGACTGGTTGTTCTGGTCGTTCCACCGTTCACCCGCTGGGTTTTCAAATACATAGATATGTCTGATGGCACATTTGGTTCGGTAGACTTACTGATTTTTGTAGGGGATATGTAGAAATTCATACCAGTTTTCAGTTGATTTTAACTTGAACTTGCCGATTCAAAAGGAAAATTGAGGTCTTACTAAAGGGAAAGAATTTAATTTATGTCTTGGTGGCCCTTTAAACATTTTTCTGAACTTCTGTCTTACTGATTCAGAGCTCTCCCTTTGAGGCACACATCCTTTCAGTAGCATCACAGTTCAAGTGCTCTGTGCTGGGGGGACTGACAAGTCAGGTTGCCCCTTAAAGAATAAGCTTGCCTGTTCAAAGAGTGCATGACTCTCACAGCATTCAAAGAAATGGATATTATTTTGAAATGGAATGGAAGGGCTTGGTCTAAATAGGACAGCTGTTGCTCAGTGATGAAGCTATTTCACTGTGACGTGAAATGTTGGTTCAATGCAGTGTGGGTGTGAGCTGAAGAAAATAAATGATGATTTCTTAGGAGAAGATTGATCAGTCAGAGTTAATGAACAATAAACGGTAGGGTTCAAGTTGGGTAGGGTTGAGTTTACTTTTTAAACCCAAAACTTGCACAGGAGCAGCATCATGAAATTCTTGCTTGATAATTGGTCATGCAAAAATTATGCTTCAAATGAAGTTAGTTTCTCTTTGTGGCTTCAATATCATTTGAAAACAAAAATGGAATCTTTAAGTCTAGCTTGAGTATATTCCTGATTCTCAGATGAGCAAGAGAAATGTGTTCCCTGACCATGTGCAAGTCCAGCTCTTCATAATCCAAGGAGTGCTCCTGTTAGAGCATGCTGCCCCTGGAAGCTCTCACTTGGCACATATTTTTTGTGGTGCTTTGCAGATATTTTAAAGTTAATGGAATCAGTCTTTATGTCTTTACCATGATTTATAAACTATTTTTTTAAAAAGTTTAACCTGCCCTGGTTGGTTTGGCTCAGTGGATAGAGCGTCGGCTTGCGGACTCAAGGGTCCCAGGTTCGATTCCGGCCAAGGGCATGTACCTTGGTTGCGGGCACATCCCCGGTGGGGGGTGTGCAGGAGGCAGCTGATTGATGTTTCTCTCATGGATGTTTCTAACTCTCTATCCCTCTCCCTTCCTCTCTGTAAAAAATCAATAAAATATATTTAAAAAAAAAAAAAAAGTTTAACCTAATTAATCCTTCCTGTCTTCTAGAATGAGAGACTACAGGCATTGCTTGGAGATAATGAAAAGATGAACTTGTCAGATGTGGAACTTATCCCATTGCCTCTAGAACCCCAGGTGAAAATTAGAGGAATAATCCCAGAAACAGCTACACTATTCAAGGTAATCATGATGGATCTTTAACATGGATGATTGGAACCTAGTTCTTTAAAGCTAGAACATTGCAGGTAATATCTGTATTCGATTTAGTAATGCTGGGGGGAAAGGTACCCTTTATTTAGCAGTGCTTTGATTTCAGATCTTATATTACCAGTAGGCACTTAAGTACGAAATGTGTAAAGTATTTTTATATATATCTGGGTTGTTTTTTAATCTTTAATTTTTTTAACTACTTTTTAAGAGTCACACCTACTTTTTTCCATTTGAGCTTTTATTTAAAAAGTTAAATTGAAAACCTTATATTATGCATTCAGTTCATAGGTTCACTTGGTTAGATATGAGTCCCAGTTAACCTTTTTAACATTACTCAACCTGTTCCTATGGCTTAACTTTCTCCTTCATATTTTTATGTAGTCCAGTAATTCTCTTTAGTCCTGAAGGGCATGCTAGGCTTTCTTTTGACCAGCCAACTCTTGGATAGTTAAAAACAGCCAGCTGGTGGTAGCTGTCTTCTCCAGTTGTGCCACAGGACCCATCATGACCTGTGCAGCATCATTATCTGCTGGGCATTGTAATGACATGGTCACGGGTCCAGGCTCTGCCCCATATGAGCTGGATGACCTTGCACACATTTTTTCTCCTGTCTCCTCACTTGTGAGATAAAACTAACACCTCCTCTGCATAGCTGCTAAGGCAATCTGAAACTAGAGAGGGTCAGGAGTCCGGCACCATGCATGATAAAGAAGAGATGTGCTCGCCATGATTATTTGTAGTGTTAGAGACATACTGGAGTAAATGAGGTAAAACAGTACAGCATTAAAATGCACCAGATAGAGTCAAGATCCCTTGCTTCTAATGGCAGGTATGTGACTGGCTTTGTAGTTTTGAGACTTAAATTACTTTTTTATGAAATAAAGGGTGATCTCAAATACCTTTATTTTTTATTCTAGAATAACTATACGTTTTCTCCAGAATCTTTCACTTAATTAGATGAAATCTAATGACCGAGTTTAGGGCTTGTGCTCCGTATGCCCAATAGTCCTGGCTATTAGCTAGCTCACTGTTTTCTCCAGCGTTCCCTAATGCCTCTTGCTGCCAACCATCTTGTTTCTCAGGTCCTGTTTACCTGTTGGCAAATCTTACATGTCAGCATTTTCTTCTATGTGTAGTCAATTTTCATACATTAACTTATATCCAAATTTGAAAGCAATATTTTTATTTCCAGAGTGCCCTTATGCCTGCACAGTTGTTCTTTAAGACAGAAGATGGAGGCAAATATCCAGTTATATTTAAGCATGGGGATGACTTACGCCAAGATCAACTTATTCTTCAAATCATTTCACTCATGGACAAGGTGAACATAGCCTTATGTTGGTGGGGAACATCATTTCATTTTAGAAAACTGGTTTAGTACATATGCTGTATATGGACCCAGGACATATTTGTAACATTTCAAGTACAACACAGAAAGCTCTGCAGTCTCCACTTGACCTTGAACAAATTCAGCTGTTTTGTGCACTGCAGAATGGCTCTTGAGATGGGGATAAAATGAAACTGCATGTGTTTCTTTTTATAAAAAAGTTTTTCCCAACTAAATTGGTTCAGTGTTGGATTTAGTAATTTCCTTCCTCTTAGTCAACTAGATCATTTTCAAATCCCATCCCTATCCCAGGATTTTAAAGGAACATATTTGCTTTTAGTTCTTTTTTTCTGAGTCTAAAATACTTTATGAGCAGAAAAAAAACACCTGTATAAATTAGTAGGAGGAAGTCTGTTCATTGAAAACTGACAGTGATTTAGATTAAGATAAAAAATTGGCACACCATCCAGTAAGTGCTTAATAAATTTATTTTGATGATGAAAGCTAAATTAACTAAGGAATTTAGTTAAATCTTAGTTTAGGTTCACTTCCTGACTCTTATTTATTAAACTGCTATAATACTTGCCTGTAAAACTGTTCCATAACAATCTTACATTTAGTTCATGTATTTTACCTTTTGACCAACAGCTACTGCGGAAAGAAAATCTGGATTTGAAGTTAACACCCTATAAAGTATTAGCCACCAGTACAAAACATGGTAAGTTTATTTTACACTGTGGTGGTCTATTTCAATGTCATTGAGTATACTTCTCCTTTTTTAATTGAAAGGTATTAAAAATGCTAGAACTAGAACTCATTTGCAGTACCGAAGACCAGCTGGGCTGTCCTGCCTGCCTCTTTCCTTGCCTCTCTTCCTCTCCAATCATTAAACATCATATTTGGAAGAAAAATTAAAACCTTTCTTTGCATTTAAACCTGGTTATAATTCACAGTAATTTCTTACATGGCAATCTGTGTCCTGAATCATCATTTCAGAGTTACTACTAGAGTGGCTTTGTACTGTGCTCTGCTAATAAAAGCCACTAATGACCTAATTTTCTATGTGGATTGATAGCATCCACAGCTTTTTGACATTGAATATCCTCTGGAAGCTGGAGCAAGATTCCCTAGGAACGCCTGTTCCATAGTCTTGTTTCTCTTAGAGTTGCATACCTTTAGATACCCAGAGAAACAAGTTATCTCTCAGGTTTCCTGCCCTTCCCAAGCCACTTCCAAATCTTTTTGATAATTTAATTCTTCTTCTCATTTTCCTCTCAGAATGATCTTATTGAAAATGCAGATATGGTCTTTGACTATCTTGCTTATATTGATTTATTAGCTTTCACTTGCTCTTGGGATGAAGGCAAAAGCCACAGCTTAGTTCTGCAGAGCGACATTCCCCCTGCGCCTGCCCCTGAGGCCTGTCCTCTGCCTCTCACCCCTGCTTCTGGGGCTCTCGCCACACTGGCCACCTTCCCTTTTCTCCATGCACTGTGGTCTTTCAGCCTTCAGGCTTTCACATATGCTGTGTTCATTATCTTTTACATTCTTTCCTCCACAGCTTTACCTGTTAACTCATTATCCTTCAAAACATGGCTCAAATTGCCAGATGCCTTCTGTTCTCTATTGTAATTTAGGTCTCCTACGCAAGAATGTCAAACTCGTGTTATTTAAAAGAGGCATGTGGCCCAGTGGCTGTGAGTTTGACATGCTTGTACACTATTCTCTTTCATAGTACTCTTCCATCTGTAGTATTTATCCCAATAAAACTTGCAAGCTTGTAAGTTTGAAGCTTGGTCTATGAAGGCATGGTCAAGGCTCTATGTTTTACCTGGCAAAGTTCTTGCTACATAGTAAAGAAACAATAACAAATTTTAAGTGAATTAATGAAGACTATTTCGTGTTTATGATATAGTAATGGATGAGACATTTCATATTCTAACAGAGTATCCAATCTCTTAATTTGCATGCAAATAGCTGATATGAGGCTCTCCAAAACCAGATCATGATTGTTTATGATCCTGAAATTCTTTCCTTCATTCAACTTTGATTTTTTTAATGTATTTGTTGTTTTATATTCCTGCTGTTCCCAGATTTTTCTCCTTGTTCTCCTGTATACTATCTCCTCCCTCTTCTTTTTGGTAGTTTAAAGGATTTACACTTTTCTTTTATCATTCCCATTAAAAGGTAGAAGATGGAGTATTAAATAAAAAGCTAATGAACAGAATACAGTTTTAAGGTTAGGTGATTGATATTACACAATTTCAGATTCTTAAAGTGATTTTAAATGTGGAATGGAAAATTTTTAATTGATATGTTTAAAAAATACAGAATACAGAAAGAAGAAATTTTTATGCCAGATTTAAGAAGTTTGGCCTCTTACATTTTTGTGTTCCTTGTGTACAATTATAGAAATTGGCCTAGAGAAACATACAGATTAAATTAGCTTATTTTTTTAAAAGTTACCTTATCCTTTGAGATAACCGCCAGAATGAATCTAAATAGTGTTTGCAGACCTTTTAGAGTTATTCAGGTATGTAGTGTATACATTTGCAAATGAAGGTTATTCTTAGCAGAACCTTTATTTTTATTGCTTAATCAATAACTTTGCTCAGGGCTATGCATTTATTTCTGTGTAGGCTTCATGCAGTTTATCCAGTCAGTTCCTGTTGCTGAAGTTCTTGATACAGAAGGAAGCATTCAGGTATGATACTTATTTAAAGATTTATAGAATTCATGAATATATTCTTGTTATAAAAATTTCAAGGTATAAAAGTATGTAAGTTAAAATGAAAGTCTCCTTTTATCACCCTTTTTCCTGCAAGTATTTTTTCATTTCCTCAGAAGTAAACAATGCTAACAGTTGGAAATTCTTCCATATTAGGACATATAGGTTCTCAAATATGAGACATAATTAGGACATAATAGGAGATCAGTAATTAATTGGTGAACAAATTAAAAATGCCTTAAGTTTATGGCTACATTTCAAAGTGTGGAAATATTGTCATTTAACCATTAATGAACAGTTTGATTATCTCGAATTTTTGTTTAGTGCTCTAGTGATACTCTTGCTTGTGCATTTTTGCACAATTATTTTCTCAGGCCCCTGTCCTCCTCTTGCAACATCTCTGCCTCCTTTAATATAAGAAAAGGCAAGTAGATCCTAGGACTAAGCCATGTGTATTTTGGGAATTTTTACATTTTAAATATATGGATTTGTTCTTATTATATCTTAATTGTTTATTTTTGTTAACTTTTAAATATAATTTTTCCTTTTCTCTATGTAAGAAAAATGAATGATATTCTCACAGAATAATCGATACGCCTGAGATGAAAGATAATACAACAGGGGCTTGATAGAGGACATTTGCTACAGTGTGTTCTTGTCTTTTTAGATTTAGAGTGTCCCTAATTCAGTATGGAGTTTAGATTTGCAGGAAAGCATTACTCTGATTTCTTGGCAGAGCAAGTGGTTACTCTGTTCTTATGTTTGGGGTACAGTTATGTACAGTGGTTAAAAGCTCAGGGTCAGAACATCAAACTGCCTGGGGTTGAAATTTGTCTCTGCTGCTTTTTCGCTATGAACATTGAGTGACTGATTAACCCTTTGTGCAGGCCAAGGCTATTTCTTTAGAAGGCCTGATGGATTGCACAGGCAGCCCTTGGCTTGTATCAGGAAATTTGGCTTTCAGTGTGTTCCCTCTGTTCCATAACTGATAAGGGTGGTTTGCTGTGCCTATGCTGTATAAAATAATATAATTTATAGCAATCAACCTGCTTTCCTTTTAAAATTTTGATAGTTGCTAGGCAGAGGGTGCTTATTGCTATAATAAATCTTATTTGTGCTACAACTATATGTTGAGTCTGTGACTCCATCTACCAAATCAAACCTATCGGAGGTCTGGGAACCACCTAACATACCCTTCAAGCCTCAGGTTTTGCAACAGGTAACATTTTTCCCCCCAAATGTTTTTGGTCTGCGGCTGGTTGAATCTATGTATGTGGAACCCCTGGATAACAAGTGTTTACTGTAATTAAAAACAACAACTCATGTTCATTTTCACGAGAATGTGTGATATAAAAAACCCCCACAGCCCTCATATTTACTTTCAGAAGAAAGATGAAACAAGTGATATGTTAAGGATGGCGATACTGCAGTAATTTATTGTTCTTTCTTTAAGCATATACGTGTGTTTTTTGTTTGTTTGTTTTGTCTTAACAGTTTGTAAGCATAGCAATAGACTTATTCCTGAGGAATATGCTTCCTAAAATCCACATTTTATAATTACAGACTAAATTTTGGATCAGATACCTATGGTAATTATTTACAGTTTCGAAATGCCTAATGTATTTAAGAATTATATTGAATTTGTTAACATGTAAAATACTATCTTTTCAGAACTTTTTTAGAAAATACGCACCAAGTGACAATGGGCCCTATGGGATCAGTGCTGAGGTAATGGACACGTATGTTAAAAGCTGTGGTAAGTTTGACAGACTATTTCCTTCCATTGATATGTTAGAATGAAGGGAAGTAGGCTACTCTGCGATTTCCATATCCATACACATTTAGAATGTGTTAAGGTGTCTCAGTCCCTTCAGGCTACTATAACAATATTACCAGTTCTGGAGGCTGGAATTCCAACCATGGGTACCAGAATGGTCAGCTGAGGGTCATCTTTGGGTTGAAGACTTCTTGTGTCATGTGGTGGATGGGGCTAGGGAGTCTGTGATGTCTCTTTTACAAGAGCACTAATCCCATTCATGAGGACTTCACCCCCATCACCTAAGGACTTCCCAAAGGCCCCACCTTATAATACCATCACTTTGGCATTAGGATTCCAACATGTGGATTTGGGGGAGGCAAAAAATGCTCTATAAGAAGACTAAGATATATAAAATGTTGATTAAAAAAGTCATTAGTGGTTTTGATTAATAGTAATAATGAGGTATAAGTCCTATTGTGAATTTCATAAATGTCTTTACTGCTTAAATGAATTTACTTATTTTCTGTTGGCTGGCACTTCAGAATTGTTTCTGTAAAGTTTTTTGTTTTTTTTTAAACCCTGCATTTACTTTGTTATCTTGTAGACAACACAATTGTGGGATGACTGACTCATTATGTGCATTTCTGTAGACACTTTTTTTTCACATCATCTTTAACGCATGTCTAATAAATGAGAAATGGAAGACCTGAAACCTGGTTTCACTTTTGAAACAAGTGGCTTTTATAATTTAACAAAATTCTACACGATGTTTTTTTCTGTTGCAAATAGTAATTTCTTTTGAGTTTCAAATAATAAACTTCATAGAGTCAAAGCTTATAAATTTAATTTGAGAATTTAGGTGAGAAATCAAAAACAGTAGTAAGCAATTTGAAATTAAAGCAGCACACATTGCTTTTGTATTCAGCGCTCCATATAACCTGGTTTGCATGTGTTATTCACAGTGTGTTTGTTTTTTAACTGTTATTGCAGCTGGATATTGTGTGATTACGTATATACTTGGAGTTGGAGACAGGCACTTGGATAACCTTTTGCTGACAAAAACAGGTAACGTATAACGGCTACTAGCAGATAGACATTTTATATGCCAGTGATTTCTTTCTTTTACCTAGGAATCTTTTTACCTTAGTAACAAAACAATATGCATAAGTGAAGGTAAATCATTGTCTTAAAAGTCCCTTTAAATCAAGGGTGGGGAACCTTTTTTCTGCTAAGGGCCATTTGGCTATTTATAACATCATTCTGGGGCCATACAAAATTATCAATTTAAAAATTAGCCTGTGCTATATATATATTTGTTCAAACATTTAGTTAACTCATCCCTAATGCCATGGCAGGGCTAGACCAAGTGAATTCATGGGCTGTATATGGGCCGAGGGCTAAGGTTCCCCACCCCTGCATATGGTACCTTTGAAGGCCATCTAGGGGAAACTCCCATCCTTTATAGCAGTGGTTCTCAACCTCCCTAATGCTGCGACCCTTTAATACAGTTCCTCATGTTGCGGTGACCCCCAACCATAAAATTATTTTCATTGCTACTTCATAACTGTAATTTTGCTACTGTTATGAATCGTAATGTAATATCTGATATGCAGGATGTATTTTCATTGTTACAAATTGAACATAATTAAAGCATAGTGATTAATCACAAAAACAATATGTAATGATATATGTGTTTTCCGATGGTCTTAGGCGACCCCTGTGAAAGGGTCGTTCGACCCCCAAAAGGGTCGCGACCCACAGGTTGAGAACCGCTGCTTTATAGGAATCACTTTAGTAGTAATCTTCCAGATGGTCATCTAGCCCTTGCTTCTTAAAACCCTCCTTTGGTGGAGAGTCATGGTGTGTGTAGGCAGTCCATTCCCTTTCTGTACAACTCTAGTTAGAATGTTAAAGTGTTCTTTCTCTTACTAAATTCTCAGCAAACTTAACTCACTTTATGTTGGTTTTATAAATTGATTTTTAGAGAGAGAGGAAGGGAGAGGGAAAAAGAGATAGAAACATTGATGAGTGCTCCTGTACTCCTCCTACTGGGGATCAAACCCACAACCCAGGCATGTGCCCTGACCTGGAATCGAACCGTGACCACCTGGTTCATAGGTCAATGCTCAACCACTGAGCTACACTAGCTGGAGTGAACTCACTTTAACTTCTATCTTTAATTCTTTGTTTTTTCCATGGAAAAATTACTCCCCCTCCCCCTACTTCTTGATAACTCTTTTGTCCCATGGCTTTAAACATCTCTGGAAACAACTTCCGAACTTAGAGCTCTCTACCTCAGTCTATTTTATTAGCTTCAAACCGAAATATATAACCGCTTACCTGAACTCCCAATTATATCGCTAATTGTAAAAGTTGTCCCCTTCCTCCATCACCTGTCTGAAACCTGCTCTTCACCTCGCTTTCCCATCTCAATAAGTAGCCTTATCCACCCAGTTGTTTAAGCACCACACTTAGGAGACATTTTTAATACTCCTTGGCCTCATCTCACATATTTGACCTGTCAGCAAATCATGTCTACTCCTTACCTCCAAAATAGATCAAGAAGTTATGTGCTTTCTTTTGCCCAGACTGTTTGAGTAAAATCTGACTTTTTACTGTGGCTGCCATGGCTCGCCCACACGACCAGTCTGAATGTTTCAATGTCAGACCACTCCTGCCTCAGCCAGCGCCCTGTTTCCTCTTCCTGGAAAGTTCTTTCCGATCTTTGCAAGTCTGACTTTGGTTGTTAAGTCTAAGTTCTCATAGCATTTCCTTAAAAGGATCCTCCTCTAATTCTCCGATCTGAAATAACATACCTGCCACCCCACCCTTCCCCATTACTCTCTATTGATTATTTTGTTTTGTTTTCTTTATACTAGTCATCACTAGCTGAAGTTTCTTTTTTATATAATTCAGTAAATATTTATTGAGCACCTACTATGTGGCAGGTATTGTTGTAAGTGCTGGGGATACCAAAGTGAATAAAACACAAATCCTGACCCTAATGAAAGGTGTTGATTTCTTATATTCATCTTCTCCCATTCAAGATGCAGGTTCCTGCAGGGACCATGTTCGTCCAGCTAGCCACCATGACTCAGAGCATTGATAACAGCTGGTTAAAGTATCAATAAATCAGTAGTCAATTATCTGCTCTTCTATGTAGCCCTTTTCTTCCCTAGGCTAAATAATTCTACTGTTTTTAGCCTTCCTCAGAAAATAGATTTTAAATTATTTTTTAAAATGGTCTCTCAGTTAAGGACATTTTCTGTTTTGGTAGTATTTCTCCAAATTGTGATGCTAAGAATTTACATAATACATAGTATGCCGTCTAATTATTAATGGATAACCCTGTTAATTCACATAATCTGGTATTTCATCTACTCAGTTTTAAATTACTAATGTAAAAACCATCTGTGGTAGAACTTGCACGTGGGAACCTTGTCTGTGCCAGGCAATGGCTTTAATAACCAAGACCGAAGGACTGTAGCTGGATTGCCCTGGGGGTTGTCACCTAGTTTGTTAGTTTAGCAAAAGCTACTTATGAAATGTTACCATGTGTTTGGAGAGAATTGTAGTTTTGAAGAAGTGCTCTGGGTTGTTTCTTTAGTTCTCTTTTTGGTTGAATCTGTTAACCACATGGAACAAGCTACCAGAGTGATTCCATGTGTTTATTTGACTTAATCATTTTATAACAATGTGATCTTTAATGTATAGAGTAGCATACATCTATGATGTTACAGTCGCAGATCTTGTATGCAGATATATTTGCGGGGAGGGGAATTGATAAATAATAGACTTTTTTTTCTTTAAGAATTGCTCTGTTTGGGGGGCGGGGTCATTTGGAAAGAGGAGTCTGCCTAATCTACTTTTTTTGGCCCAGGTTATAGTTATTTGTTTTATGGCAATTGAATTACAAAATTTCAGAAACAGAGTTTTAACTTTTTGTTACCAGTTTTCCACTAGAGGGTGCTTCAAATTTGCCTTTAAAAACAAAACTTTCCTTAAAATGTACTAAGTGAAAGGTACATTGTCTTTTTAAAAAACAGCATTTTTTGAGTGATTTTTTTTCTTAACTTCTTTATAATTATTTTATCCAGATGTATATCATACAGTTGGCATCTTAAGTCTTCCTCACTAGGGTAGATGTTTTCAATTTTCAGGTTTAACTTGAATGAAATTAGGTTATATAAGGAAAGTCTGGTTCTGTTAGGCAAATGGAAGTATAATTCATTCTTCAACTTTTAAAAATGATAATGATTCATCTACACTAATAAAAGAGAAACATGGTAATTAGCATACGACTGCTACCCTTCCCATTGGCTAATCAGCATATCTTTATGCAAATTAACTGTCAGCCAAGATGGCGGCCGGCAGCCATGCACTGAAGCGAACAGGGAGGCTTGCTTGCTCCAGTGATGGCGGACTCCAACGTTCCCCACCTGCCGCTGTGGCCTAAGCAACTCTAAGCAACTATGTTGCAAATATAGAAGCTAAACAAAACCCCAGAAACCAGCTTTCAGTCAGCCAGGCTTCAGCCAGCCTGACCGCAACATTGTATCAAATACAGAAGGAAAAACAAAGGCCAGAAACCGGCTTTCAGCAGCTGAGGCCTCAGAGCTAAAGCTGGCCCAGAATAAAAAAAAAAAAAGAAAAAAAGGAGCAGTTGGGAGCTTCAGTCACCCGCCAGCCTGAAAACGTACCCTCAGCTCCTCACCAAGACTGCCCAGCAACCCCAGTGGGGACTCATCTTATTCAGGACACCCTTTCAGGGCAAGCCCAGCGGCCCCCACCGTGCACCAAGTCTTTTAATCTTATATAGTAGAGGAGTAATTATGCCTCCCGAGCACGGAGATCAGCGTGACAGGGGGCAGCGCCCAACCCCCCTGATCGCCCTGCGGCTCTGTGTGTGACAGGGGGCTGGGCCACAACCTCCCCATCCCCCTTGCTCTGTTCGTGACAAGGAAAGACGCCCCACCCCCCTGATGGCCCCTGCTCTGTGCCTGATAGGGGGGAGCTCCCCAACCCCCTGATCCCCCTGGGGCTTTGTGTGTGACAGGGTGCAGCCCCCCAAGCCCCTGTTGGGCCCTGTTTTGTGGGTGATAGAGGGGGGCGCCCCAACCCCCCCCCCCCCCCCACGGGCCCTGCTCTGTGTGTGACGGGGTAGAGCCATAACCTCCCCATCGGCCCTGCCCTGAGTGTGACAGTGGTGGGGCCCCAACCCCCCTATCGGCCCTACTCTGTGAGTGACAGGGGGGAGCTCCTCAACCCCCTGATGGGCCCTGCTCTGTGTGTGACATGGTATGGAGCCCCAACCCCCCTGATGGGCCCTGCTCTGTGCATGTCAGGGGGTAGCGCCCCAACCCCCTGATCCGCCCTACTCTGTGAGTGACAGGGGGGAGCTCCTCAACCCCCTGATCGGCCCCGCTCTGTGCGTGACAGGGGGGAGCTCCTCAACCCCCTGATCGGCCCTGCTCTGTGTGTTACAGGGTACGGAGCCCCAACCCCCCTGATGGGCCCTGCTCTGTGTGTGACAGGGGGCAACGCCCCAACCCCCTGATCGGCCCTGCTCTGTGTGTGACAGGGTACGGAGCCCCAACCCCCTGATTGGCCCTGCTCTGTGCTTGACAGGGGGTGGCGCCGCAACTTCCCTATCGACCCTGCCTTGAGTGTGACAGAGGGCGGTGCCCCAGCCCCCCAATCGGCTCTACCCTGAGCTTGACTAGGGGTGGCATTGCAACCTCCCGATCCGCCCTGCTCTGTGCATGACAGGGGGCAGCGCCCCAACTCCCCAATCGGCCCTGCTCTGAGCCCAACCAGGGGCTGCACCTAGGGATTGGGCCTGCCCTCTGCCACCCGGAAGCAGGCCTAAGCCAGCAGGTCGTTATCTCCCGAGGGGTCCCAGACTGCGAGAGGGCACAGGCCGGGCTGGGGGACCCCCCCCCCAGTGCACAAATTTTTGTGCACCGGGTCTCTAGTTTTAAAATATTTGTGTCTTTATCTTTTACTAACAGTCCGTATATTTCAAAGCAGTTTCAAGTTATATTAATTACATATATGTTGTAAAA